TCAAATTTGCGACACATTTGGATGGAAACCGTAAACTAAATATCTCTGGGTTGTGGACAAAAGACTTTAAGGGCGTCACCTTAAACCTTGAGAAACAACGATCAACCCTTTACGCAATTTTGTGACATTTTATGGATCAAGCAACTCAATTAATCCAGAAAATGTTCAACAGGTTAAACAATGAATCTTTAATTGCAGCCCAGTAATTAATATTGTTTAATTCTTTCTTTCAGGTTCGTTTCCAGGAGCGAATCACCATCCTGCGAGGGAACCACGAGTCGCGGCAGATCACGCAGGTCTACGGCTTCTACGACGAGTGCCTGAGGAAGTATGGCAACGCCAACGTGTGGAAGTACTTCACAGACCTGTTCGACTACCTGCCACTCACCGCACTGGTTGACGGACAGGTGGGACCCTCGGACAGCGCAGTAGCAGTGAATCAGCTGCTTCCTCTGACCTGCAGGATGTAACAGCACGTGGTCACTGCTCAGAGAAAGAGGCTGTTTCTTAGAGTTATTGATTTTAGATGTGTGTGTGTGTGTGTGTGTGTGTGTGATAGAAGACCTTTTGCTTAGTATTATATATTCTTATGTTTTACTTCCAGGTAGCTTTAAAATAAATGATTTCTTTTGTTTTTGTTTCAGATCTTCTGTCTCCACGGAGGTCTGTCTCCCTCCATAGACACTCTGGATCACATACGAGCTCTGGACCGCCTGCAAGAAGTCCCACATGAGGTAAACACACACACACTTTCTTCAGCTGCAGATGAATCCACAGTTGGAGCTGTATTGATAAGGACAGTGTATCAATAATCTGTCTCTCTGTCTCTCTCTGTCTCTCTCTCTCTCTCTCTCTCTCTCTCTCTCTCTCTCTCTCTCTCTCTCTCTCTCTCTCTCTCTCTCTCTCTCTCTCTCTCTCAGGGCCCGATGTGTGACCTGCTGTGGTCGGACCCTGATGATCGCGGTGGGTGGGGTATCTCTCCCCGAGGTGCTGGCTACACCTTCGGACAGGACATCTCTGAAACCTTCAACCACGCCAACGGCCTCACCCTGGTGTCCCGCGCCCATCAGCTGGTCATGGAGGTAAACCACACACACACACACACACACACACACACACAGCGCTAAACCCAGTGCCAGTATTTCATTTAGTATCACGTATGACTAAAAAAAGCAGCAAATGCTCAGAGGTGAGAATCTATTTGACACGTTTGAATTATAACCACGATGTTTAAAGAAATACTCTCTTCTGATAGAACTGATGCTAGCAGCAGCTACGCTAACTTCTTTAGCAGCTGCCATTGTTGTTCAACAAACGGTGTCTTCTCGCTGCGCCACACCTTGCGTTTCTACCGTCCTGCTCTCGTCCGGTAAAATGACCTCCAGTTTGCGTTCTACCTGAGTCCACCTGAATGACTGCAGCATTACTCTGAGTGTGTTTCAGTCGGGTTGGCACACAGTTTTCAAACACAAGTGGAACTGAAGAATCCTAAAAAAATCCTCGTGTATCCATGGCAACGTAATATATAATGAACCTTTTGAGAGTGCAGTGCTCCTCCACCCCTGTTCTGTACCAGTTTCACTCCCACTGAGTCTCTCCACCTGAAACACACACACACACACACACACACACACACACACACACTTTGTGTTTAAAGGAGATTCAGTCAGCAGCTGCAACAACCTGAGGATTTAAAGTTGATGTCATTTAGTAAACGTGATCAAAAGAGAGAACAAGAATCTTTTACATAAAGAAAAGTCAACAAGTTGTTGCTGAATTTCTTTGATGAATTGAATTTAAAAATCAGATCAGGTCTGATTATTCCTCTGCAGATGAATACATGTGTGACGTTTGAGACCTTTCCCAGCCTAACTAATGTGTTCTTGTACCTTTCAGGGCTATAATTGGGGCCATGATAAGAATGTGGTGACCATCTTTAGTGCTCCAAACTACTGCTACCGCTGTGGAAACCAGGCAGCCATCATGGAACTGGATGACACTCTGAAATACTCTTTGTAAGTACACACACCTTCATGTTTCTGTCACATTCAGGGCAGAGGAGGGAGAGCGTTCAGTAAAATGTCTACATGTGTTCTCACCGCCTGCACCAGTCAGTTATTTCCAGTCTGAGGGACACAGGTGATAGTTGGCTACGTTGCAGACAGTCCACACTGTGTGCCAAATATTTCTGCAGGATAAAAGAGTGAAGTTATAAATTATTTCCAGTCTTGAACAAAAGATTATTTGACCCTGTTGCCTCAGCCCTGATGTCAGGCACTGATCCTCTGCTGTCTCTCTGCTCCTCCTCCTCACAACAAGATCTGAGCAGATTGTGACTCTGAGTTGACTGCTCGCAGGAAAACTGTAATTCTCTTCCTGTGTGAACACGAGAGTATAACGCTACCTTCCAGTACATGTCCTTTGGAGAACGAGGAGAGGGAGTTGACTCATATCCGGACATGGAAATCTTATTACATTTTGAACTATCTACCCACCCAATAAAATGATAAATGTAATATATAAGCACCTTAGTTTCACTTTGGATCGTTTCACTCTCCTGCTTCTGTGACTCTTGGGTGAAAAATCCAAAGTGCGAGTTGTTTTTTGGGCATCTTATAAGAAAATGAACCTTTTTATCAAACAAATTCAGGTTTTGCGAGTTGCATATTGCACTTTTTTTGATAATGTTTGGATACATTGTGCAGAGAGAGAAGAGAGATAGAATCAAAGTAGTTAGTGAGTATACGCTGCCTCATCGACTCCTTCAGAGCTCGCATTTCTGAGTGAGTGAGATGATAGACGTTATCTCACAGCCCTTTATCAGGTCACATGTTGGTGGCGGAGCTCTGAGTGAATACAGGGAACCTTTATACTTATATAAAGATATATTATATAAACATTGGAACTGTTCTGCTCTCTAACTCGTCAATAACGAACCCTTTCTTCCTCCTCAGCCTTCAGTTTGACCCCGCCCCCCGCCGCGGCGAGCCCCATGTGACCAGACGCACTCCTGACTACTTCCTGTGAATGTCCAAAGCCATCCCTGTCGATCATCCACGAAGCTCCACCCCCTTTCTCCCCCTGCCCACCCCCCCCACTCCCCCTCATTTTGGTTGGAAAGATATTAATAATTATGATATTACTGTACCAGGGAGAATAGAAACAAACGATTGGCTGATGAACCAAGATTTTAACAAAAAGAGAAACTTAAAGAGCGGCCCCCTCTACAGTCTTGTTTTCAATATGCTGTCATTAATGCTGTGCTTCTGGGGAAAAACAACACGTACAACTATGATCTGTTTTCTTTATTTTTTTTGTTTATTACATGTTTGAAAACGAGATAATAAAACTACCAACGTGGACCAAATGTGCCATATTCTGATCCTTTTACAACATGTACAACGCGCAATGTTTCTTTCTTTTTGTTTTCCTATTTTTGTTTTTGTTTTTTTAGACCAGCACTATTATAACCCTACCTACCTGACGACGACGTCACCACCACACCACACATCTCATGGCATATGTGCTTTTTTCTGTTGCAAGATAATTTTAAAAAAGGAGAAAAAAAAAAAGAAAAAAGTTTGCTTCAAGTAGTACAGCTGTGAGTTTTAGCTGTCCAGGCTGCAGCCGGTGGTCATCTCAGCAAGTATATTACTGTAATTTGAATAAAGACAACAGACGTATGAAATAAAAATGTCCTATTGACAAACTAGCGGGCTGCGTCTGTGTCTTTTCTTCAGCTTGATTCAGACTTTGTTCAGCTGTTGTGGTGAAGACATTTGGGTTCGTACTCCAGGTTCGACCTCCAGAAACATTGTTCACAGAGCTCCAGTAGAGAGTTACGTCCAGGCTCCAGTTAGAAAGCTTTAACAGGCATAAAACAACAACAGTGCAACAAACTCCAGAAATATTTCTGCTACGTTTTGTTGCAGCCTAAAATGTCTGATTTCTTTCTACACAGTCGTGATGCATGTTGATGTTTTTGTTGCAGAAGAATATATATTTAATGTAATGAGTGATCATTTGGCTGGGGTTTGGTCTATACTGTGGTTACACAAAACAATAAAGAAGACATAGCTGAGAGGAAATATAATTACGATTTCAATAAGAATTTTTTTTTTAATTTAAAGAGTAGTTTTCTGGTGGACATAAATATATAAAATACAAAGTATATGGGGGTCCTTGCATGATTGACTTCCAAATCCATAAATATAGATTTACTTTCCTACTAATTTATTCAAATTGGGGCAATCTTTAAAAATAAACTATTTAAATTAATAAATTGATTCCAGTGACAGACACTGTAAAATGTGTTGAATAAATGTATAAGGACAGTCAAAAATGCACCTGCCAGATAACTTTGTACACTAATGTCTGAGTATAACATCTTCTCGTCCCCTGCTCAGTAGTTTTGGTGTGTTTGTGCATTTATTGTTATTTTATTCTATAAATAAACTGGAGGAGTTATGGATTAGCAATAAATATCATTTGGATTGTTCCATGAAAAATGAAAAGAAGGTGAAACAAAAAAAGTGGCACTGATTCTAATAACTCACCAACCACTCAGATAAAACTCCAGTACCTAAATTACAAAATATTAATATGATAAGAACTTATTGATCCTCTGCAGAGGAAATTGTGACAGCAGCAGAGGGAGAATACAATAAAATAAAAATATATAGTATATAAAATAAATACATTTAAAATAAGTGTAAATAAATAAATAAATACTCTTATAAAATAAAAAATTTAAATAAGTGTAAATAAATAAATAAATATTTATAAAAAAATAAGTAAATAAATAAATAAATACTCTTATAAAATAAATACATTTAAAATAAGTGTAAATAAATAAATAAATACTCTTATAAAATAAATACATTTAAAATAAGTGTAAATAAATAAATAAATACTCTTATAAAATAAAGTTTTTGATGGTAGATTTTCTTTGTCATGTTCTCTCAATAAAGACGAGAGTTCCCTCAAGTATCGCGAGAGTTCCCGGGAGGCGCACAACGTCGCCATGTTAGTTTGCGGTTGATATCAGTAAACAGAGAGAGGACATTAACCGTCCATTTAAAGGTTGTGTTTGTGTTTCTGGACTGTACAGGTGAGTTTATTACCTGCTGGATCTTTCTACCTGTCACACCTTCCGACGAACGGTGTTTCCGAGCTAGCTGTGTTCAGCTAACGACAGCTAGCCGCTAACAGGCTAAAAACAAGAGCTAGCTTCCAGAAGAGAGGATTTATATTATTATTAATATTAAATTATATATTCAATATTTAATATTAACGATTATTAATATTAAATTATATATTTAATATTTAATATCAAACGTTAGCTGCAGTTTAAAATGTGCATTTAACGTTGTGTTTAATGTGATTAAAGATTTCACATTAATGCTGCTGAAACAGATTATTTAATATTATTATTATTATTATTATTATAGAGAAGTTTTATACAATTCTCTGACTCAATTATGTATTTTTTATCTAACAATCTGAATTACTTAATCGGCCTTTTTTTTTTAGACAAAATCAGTGTTTTATTCTGATGTTTGGCCTTTTTCTAAAGACAATAATCTTCTAAACTTTAATAATGAATGCTCAGATACTGTGGACCTACTGTGGGTCTACTGTGGGTCTACTGTGGGAATGTTCTGGGTGTATATTTTGGGAACCACACAGGATTAAATGGGTTAATGTGGGAAACTGTGGAGAACATGTTGAACACAGTTTTCCAGGTTGTGAAGCAGAAAGAGGAAAAAGGGAATTCTGGGAAGAGGAGGAGAGGGAATAAGAGCCGCCAGGAAGGTTAAATAAAACAGGATGGTACACAGTCTTGTACAGTAGGCGGCGGTGTGCACCTTTTTAAAAGGAGTTTGTAATCTGCCTTTAGATCCAGAGCAGAAGAAGATTTCACTGCGTGGTCTTTGGCTCAAGGTGGCAGCAGTTCAGTTTTTAGATACTCAACAGTTTTTAAACCAGAGTCCAGTTGTCCTGACAACCTATAAAGACCAACAACAACATCAACAACCCAACTAAACATCTGGATAAAGAATAATTCAACTGTTCTATAATTAAAAACTGTGTAAACCCGTTTCCTTATAAAACTGACAGGATGTGACTGAAATCCTCAGAGGTCATTGTTTTACATTTTAGGCAACTTAAAATCTAATGAATGTGAACTGATAATTAATTAAAGATAAAGCTGCTGGAGTCCAAACTGTAATAGAATATTTAATCAGCAGTTTGATGTTCGCTCAGATCTTCTATTGTTCACGTTATCAGAATATTGGACTAATCTGTGCTGCCTCTTCCCATCAGCCCCTGAAGCTGACATCATGAGGAGGGTGAGGAGGAGGAAGAGGAAGGCGGTGCAGTCCGTCCTCTGATCTCCGTCCGTCTGTATGGAGGATGTGGTTCTGCACTACCAGCCTGGATCAGCTGCTGGACTCAGCTCTCTGCTGGAGAGGACGGAGAAGCTTCTGGAGCCGTTCCCCTGCCGGACTCTTCCGGTCTTCACGCCCTGGTTCCCGTCCGCCGCCGACCGCCACCCGCCCATCAGACCCGCCAAACCGGCTCCCGTCATCAGCTGCTCGGGGGATCTACCGCGCACTGACACAGACCTGAACACGCTACAGAGACCTGAACCTGTAGCTGAGAGACCTCATGAGACGACCAGAACTCCACAGAAACGCAAACGTGACGTCTCAGAAACCCCGACCCATCCCCCCCCGGCGTCGCTCTTTAACAAACCGGAGAGCGAGATCAGCAGGTCGTCTCCTGACAGACACAAAGATGGCGGTCCCGTCACAGACTCCCCGATCAAGCGGTCCTGGAGCGTCTTCACACAGAAAGGAGTTCTGCTGCAGAGCGCCCAGTCGCTGTCCAAACAGTTCCATCACGTGGTGTCGGTCCACAAGCTCCACCTCCGCCAGAGGGTCAAATGGGTCATCAGTCAGCACCACTGTGGGCCGGCCAGGGACATCGAGCAGGTCAGTAGATTATTACAGCCACGCTAACAGCACAGGTTACTGTCTGTGTGCTGTCACTGTGGATCCACCTGTACAGTGTCTCTTTTATTAAACCTCTTCAGCTTTAGATCTTAAAGGTTTTATATACGAGATTCACTACTGGATGTTACACCGGAGCAGCAGCATCTCAGACCAAAACAATGAGACAGAAACAGAATCAAACTCATTAAAAGCGTCTCTGTTAGTGTTTCCAACAATCACCAACTCTGGTTTGGTGGAAATAAATCCTTAATTCACCGACGTAGATGATAAAAACAGCAGTTTCAGTCGGAGCAGACCGGCTATGGAAACAAACCACAGAGAGGCTGCGATACAACACAGGCAGAGGGAGAGAGACACCATGTGACTCTGGGTTAATGTTCCTAATCTCATATACTGTATAACCTTTCAATGTGTGACCATGAAGATCTGCTGGGTCATGGTTGGCCCTGGGAACAGATCAGCTGTTCTATAAAAGCTGCCCTTACAGTTTCTGTTCATGTGTCAGTGCACTGTGGATCTTTATCTGTACCTCCATCCTTCAGTTGCTTTTCCCACTGTGCTTAGTGCCAACACAGGTTTATACTGAGCTCAGCGTCAACTCACCAGATGTTTTATAGAGTTTATAGAGCTGCAAAGATTATTCGACTGACAGAAAATGTCTTTGTTGATTAAATAAGTATCATCGGACGTCTGGATCTTAAGTTATCAGAGAAACAGTCCGAGCTAACGTTAGCAGCAGCTCGGCCCGCAGCCCCTCCGGGTCGTCCTTTGTCTGTCCGACAGCGTGGGAGAAGCAGTGATTGTTAAGAGATGGATTTTGTTGTGTTGAATCCTCGTGAGATGTTAAAGGTATTCAGAAAAAGAAAAATCACCCCTTCCTCTCTAATCTTCCTCTCTAATCTTCCTCTGCAGGTGTGGCAGACTCTGAGCCGGTCCATCCGGTGCTCCAGGTTGCCGACGTGCAACGCCAACATCCAGAGGGAGCGGGCGGAGATCTGGGTGTTCTGTGACGTTCTGCACTGCGAGCAGGCGGGGCGGTTCCTGAAGGACGAGCTGCGGCTGTCGGGGAGGATCGGCCTGTCTGCTCACAGGCTGGGAAACATCTTCAGCATGTAGACGGACTGTACAGATGTGTTTACAGCTCCAGATGTTTGGATCACACTAAGATTTACACTTCATCTTCATTGTGTAAGAGACCTTTTTCACAGCAGCAGCATTCGACACCGATGACACCGCAGTGTAGTGTATTGGCAGCGCTCTCAGGGGTCACATGATTAACAGAAAGAAAATACACTGCAGCAGACGGAGCCTTAATTAGTATCACTGTGTTTACCCTACTGTTTCATGTCAAAATAGCTGCTGTAAAAAAGGTCTTTTTACTCGATATTTTACCCCAGTTCCATCAGATTCCCATTAAATAGACTGTGTTCTGACTACTGGGCTGTATACTGGTACCATAAGGAATACCAGGATGTGTACGATGTTTACATGTGCGACACATAACCAGGATACTGGAGCTGATGTAAACACACTCAGTTATCAGTTTTTATTAGTTAGAGAGCCGGAGGGGGAGACAGGAAGAGGGGGATGGGCACACAAACATATGGAATAATAATGTGTGTCTGATATACAACCCTTAATAAGGCATCTTCTCCTTCTACCTCCTTTTAAAAATGCCAGACTCTATGAAATATGCAGAAACAATCCTCAAGTGCAGAACTTCATGAATATTTTATATAAATCTACTTCATTAAATAACAACTGAGGGGGGGTTGAACCCTGGAGCAGAACGCCACTCTATATTGTATATTTATGAATTTAACAGATTGTATTTTTCATACTGATGGTGTCGGCGCTCTCTGGTGTAAATAAAGGTTTGATATTGTGTTTAACCTGTGATGGATGACTGAATGTACGGCCCTGCTGCATGTGATGTGTGCACTTTGTTCTGGAAAAGCCGCAGCAGCAGTCACATGATACGGGAGTCACCCTGCTTTCCACTGACACCGAAAAATATCTGGTCCTCCATCTCACACACACACACACACACACACACACACACACACACACACACACACACACACACACACACACACACACACTGGTGCTTGTGTAAGAGCTGGATAAATGAGGACAGCATGAATACAGTACACCCCCATCACACACACACACACACACACACACACTCTTTTGTTGCCATGGTCCCCTGTCATGACAGCCCTGCACACTGCATTAAAATCTAGGTTACCGGATGTGACGTCGGTGCCCTGCCTCCCTGCCCAGCTGTAATCTCTTAAATCCGTGTTTATGGCCCCTGAACGCACCGGATACAAGACCTGAAAGGAAAATTGTGGAAAAATACTAAAGTAGGTTCAGAATTTAAAACACTAGTACTCAGAAATGTCCCATATTTTGCCGCTGGTGCTGTGAAACACACATTCATTTTGCAACACATGCTCGCCTGGAGTATTTTAGTTTGAAAGCCACCCGGAACTTGTAAATTCTCTTCGCTTTACTCTGTTATATAACACATCTTAACGAGTAAATATGTTTGTTAAAGCAGACTTTAGGAGAAACTTTGTGTAAATTGGATACTTATTTTAACGAATTAACGTCTTACCTTAAATGTGAACTTTGATTTGAAGGTTTTTGGTATATTAACGCTCTAACGCCTTTTATTTTGACAGCCCGTACCGGAAACGCTTCTAATTGACTCTAACTTGACGTCACTGTTAGCAGCTAACATTCAGACGGCAGAAACACGAGTGTCTTCATCTTGGAAATAATCGATAAAAAAGCGGATTATATCAGTTCTGAAATACATCTGGTCGTCGTGTCTGCTCGCTGCTCCATAATGGCGTCCGCTGTTTGCTCTGCTGGAGGTTTTAACCGGTGAAAAACTTAAAAAAAGGTGAGCGACTCCAAGCGACTGACACAAAGCTAACATGCTAAGCTAGCGCTGGCATGCATTGTCGTTTCCCGTTTCCTGGAGGGATTCAGGCTGTCTGAGCTCTTTATGGCACCGGTTTACTTCATTTAATCATTTAATGAGTGTTGGCATGATGGGGAGCTGATTGTGTGTAGATAAAGATTTCATATTAACTCTTACTTTCTTTTTTTGGTTGGGGAAAGTACCTGAAGCGTTTATTCTCGTTCTCTACTGTTTACTTAACGTAAGTCCCTTTAAAACTCTGCATATTTTCTGTGCATTTAGCTTTATATGTGTGAAATATGTATGTTTTTAAAAATACAAACCGTGTTAGGTGTTAGGAACTTTGTTGTTTTCCTTTCGGCTTCATTAATGTTGTCTTAAATTCCTTTAGATTAGATCTTCTGACAGGAACTGATGGGGGAAATACCAGTTTAATGTTAAAAAGGACCTATTGTTTATGCTCATAATGCCTGTCTAATGTCCACAGCAGATATAAATCAATCAGTTTTGGTCACGAAAATTAATTTCTATCTATTTTTATTTTCAATGACTGTTTTTAAGTCACTTATCAGGTAAAAAAATAAATTATTTTATGATTTCAGCTCCTAAAAATGTGAATTTTTTGATCATTTTCTAGTTATTAATTGGGTATCACCAAACGAGTATTTAAACTATATATTTATCTTTTTTCTCGATTAATTGTGTGGTTTTATAAAATGGCAGAAAATATTAAAAAACTATCCTAAAGTGGAAAAGTGAGAAATTCTCCCCATTGAAGGAAGAATTTGTCATTAATCTTTAAAGAAATAACTTCCTGTTGGTTGACTAATGGATTAATCATATATCCGTTTCATCTTTGGTTTTAATGTCATTGCAACTGGACTATTTTTAGACTACTTTCCATTTTCTTTCCATGTTATTAATTAATCTATTATTAGAAAATTAGAATTGTTACAACACAAACTTTACATAATTGATCGGTGTGATCAGGCCCTCATCTAATACATCAGGATCTGGGTATCTGGGTGTTTTACTGCCTCGCCTGAGCAGCTTCTGGGGGGGAAACCCTGTATGAAGTACTGTTTTTAACAGACGAATAAAGAAACATGAAATCATTGCTTCCATATTTGAGAGGTTGACTATAAAATATACATTCAGTTGACCTTTTATTGCACTTTAGGTATTTATAAACTGGCTGTAAGTGAGTGAACATCTGGCTGTTAGCATCGTGTGCAGCTGTCAGTAGACTTCTCACTTTAACTACTTGGTGTTGGAAGATGTACTGTCCCAGAAATAATTACAATAAACAATATTATTGTGATTTTAACAGCATTTTATGCCACTGGTGGTAGCAGCGTGGTAATGTAAGTACAGCCTTTAATCCCTGACAATGTTCAGACATTGATGTGTGGAACAAACACCGTCTCAGCATAGTTTTTTCTGTTTATTCAGCATCTTAGTTGCTGTGAAAAGATGCTTAGGCACGGCGCCCGAGTCTTATAACGGTAGGGAAAACCCTGCTGTGTATTCTAGCATCATGCTGGGGACGTTGGTAGTTTAACAATATGGAGAGACAGTTAAATAGTGATACGAATCTCAAGATTGAAATTTGTGAGATGAACAATGAATAGTGATACTTTTATTCTAATAGTTCTTAATGTCGGACATTAAAACTTTGTCATCAGGGACTTTCCACAACTATACGAGAGCAACTAGCGGCGTTGGTGAATAATCTGATGATCTTTTTGATTAATCACTGAGTCTAAACAGGTCACACAATACGGAGAAACGTCCAATGTGACGCCTTCAGATGTCTCGTTATAAAACTGAAAATCTGAGACACTGTAGAAGCCGGAGTCAGACAGTTGTTGGTGTTTTTGCTGGATAAATTAAAGGTGAGAAGGATGTGTGAGCAGAGATTCACAGACCTGCGACCTACCTGGCGGTTTGTTGTTTAATAAGCTCTTAAACACTGAGATCAGATCACTGTTGGGAGTATTCTGGTCAGTTCAGTCGTCAGGTGTCACCAGCCCTGTTTCCTCCCACTCATCGTTAAACTTTGTCCTCCTCTCCTCTCCTCTCCTCTCCTCTCCTCTCGCAGGTCGCTACCTCCACAGATGTGGCCTCTACCTCTGCTGAGACTCCTGTTCATGAACGGCGAGGATGCTCTGATCGAGTGGCTGTGGCTCGGCCTGGAGGGATGACAGGACTTTAGCAGACATGGAGACAGGGGAGACACACAGACAGCTGGAGACGCCGCATTTACTCAGTCTACATTCTCCACATTAGATCCACTCAGGATAACAGAAACTCCTATTTTTATATATTTTTTATTGAGAGCTGCTTTTCTTAGTTATTGTGAAGCCATATTCAGTCGCCAGACGTCACGATGAGCTCCGAGGGCTTTCAGTACCGAGCGCTGTACGACTACAAGAAGGAGAGGGAGGAGGACATCGACCTGCACGTTGGAGACATGCTGCTGGTCACTAAAGGGGCGCTGCTGGCGCTCGGCTGCAGCAACGGAGCCGAAGAACGACCCTCAGAGATCGGCTGGCTGCCGGGCTTCAATGAGACCACGCAGGTACCACGGCACCGTTCTCTCTGTAATCTGTACATTGTGTTAAAGGTCCAGTGGTTAACGTTTAGGAGGATCTATTGCCAGAAATGGGATATAATAAATTAATAGGTATGTTTTCATTTGTGTATAATCACCTGAAAATCAGAATCAAAGTGTTTTTGTCGCCTTAGAATGAGACGTTTTTATTTACGCTAACGTTAGCTCAGCTTGTTTCTCTGATAACTTGAGATCCAGACGTCCGATGACTAAAATCCTTCATCCGGTTCAAATCTAGAGTTAAAAAGCACCAAGATCTAAACAGTGGATGGTAACAATGTGGCTTCAGACTGGATCAACAGTCAATGTATGACAGCTTCTGGCAGACAACCACAACGCTGACGCAGGCACAAAGGGGATATGACAACTACATATAAAACATAGCTCTAGAGTTTATACACTGTTTAATGATGATAGATCATTGATTTAAATGTTCCACATTAAAGATTAAAATCTTGACTTTAAAACATGAAATTCTTTTGAATTCTGCTGCAGCCATTTTGAGTCGCCCCTGCTGAGTTTCTGTTACACAAACAGCTAAACAAACAACTCTGGTTCAAGTTGCTAAAAGTTTCCATTTACCTGCTGAGAGGAAACGCGCCCTTCACTGATCAACACCCTCAGACCGAGCTCTGTGGTGACATTTAAACCATCACAGTGGAGCTGAGAGAAAAGCTGAGGTAACGTTGGATGCTCCAGTAAAGAAGAGCAGCTGTTGTTTGGTTATTTTACTTTACGTTTTTTATTTATCCAAACTAGAAAGAATTTTTGTGTTTCTCAGTTATTTATCCATTGATCCGGTTTCAGTGCAAATTAAACAATAAGTCAAATGTGTGAAATTCTCTGTCGTATCCTCAGCTGAGAGTCCAGAAGTTGTCAGAATATTTACAGTACAGCCCGATCAATACTCTTATTTTAATCTGACAAGCATCTGTTGGTTGATTTTTTTTTTGTAACAAAAACGTATCCTGAACAAACTTTGAAGATAAAAAATAATGAAGGAATAGAGACTAATATACACTACATCCTGTTTATTTTACAGTGTATGAATAAACATTTTAATGATAACTACGTATTAGTGATATATATCATCAGATATCTCTACGCAGGGAACAAAATTCACTTTAACTCCTCAGCAAATGGCAGGTAAACTGAGAATTTACCAGCCAAACTGACCATAAAACTGCAGGTAAATCTGCTTTATTTTACAAAAAATATCTCTTTGTCTCTAATAACCGGTAACACATTTTTTCTTACGGCTATGAACAGACATTGTGTAGAAAGTACTGAATAGTAGTGAGATCCATGTTGACGTCACAATATGGTACGGTGGACAGTGAGGGTCACATTAGTCTCAGCCGGTACACATAAAAGAACACGTGAACGCGGCCCCAACTTATGTATTTTTTACCAGCAAACCTAAAATCTACCTGCGTTTCGTGCTCATCTCTGCACCTCACACTCGTCTGTCTCTGGCCGACAGGAAAAGGGCGACTTCCCGGGGACGTATGTGGAGTTTATTGGCAGAAAGAGGATGTCACCTCCCACTCCGAAGCCCCGCCCACCCAGACCGCCGTCTGCAGCATCAGTGAGGACCGACTCCGAGTCTGAGGGTGAGTACGATAAAGATCAATCCAGCTGATAACCCAACAGGTGATCAGACCTAAAGGGGAATATTTAAAACTACATTTTACATGGTACTTAAAAAACGGATGGCTAAACTGGTGTTTCAAATCTGGTGTTCCCAGAAGAAAGGGATTTGTTTCTTATTTTCCAGACAGAGTTAGAATTGATCATTTGTCATCCTTTCTGGCTGCTGTCTCTTGTGGCGTACCACAAGGTTCCAGTTTAGGTCCTATTTTATTTGTGTTATATTTGCTTCCGCTGGAGTCACAACATACGTTATTATTGATTACAGGCAGCTGTGTTTCCAATTAAAACCAGATGAATCACATCTTCTTCAGTCTGTTAGCAGAGTTTGTCAAAGTGCGTCCACTAACAGTAGTTGTTTGTTCCACTGACAGTAGTTGTTGTTTGTTCCACTAACAGTAGTTGTTGTTTGTTCCACTAACAGTAGTTGTTGTTTGTTCCACTAACAGTAGTTGTTGTTTGTTCCACTAACAGTAGTTGTTGTTTGTTCCACTAACAGTAGTTGTTGTTTGTTCCACTAACAGTAGTTGTTGTTTGTTCCACTAACAGTAGTTGTTGTTTGTTCCACTAACAGTAGTTGTTTGTTCCACTGACAGTAGTTGTTGTTTGTTCCACTAACAGTAGTTGTTGTTTGTTCCACTAACAGTAGTTGTTGTTTGTTCCACTGACAGTAGTCGTTGTTTGTTCCACTGACAGACTCAGGTTGTTATTGTCAGTGTCTGACAGCATTATGGAAAGGATCCCTACAGAGATAGACTTTTAGTTTAACCACAAACAGCCGTAATATCACTATCACTCTCCACCAGACTCCAGAGACAAAAACACTAATTTTACCTTCAGATCATCGTAACTTAATTCAAAGTGGACAGAAACAGAATAAAACTGATTAAAAGCGTCTCTGTTAGTGTTTCCAACAATCACCAACTCTGGTTTGGTGGAAATAAATCCTTAATTCACCGACGTAGATGATAAAAACCAACAAACAAACAAACAAACCACAGAGAGGCTGCGATACAACACAGGCAGAGGGAGAGAGACACCATGTGACTCTGTATATAGAGAATATAATGTTTAATATCTCATATGTTTGTAACTTTAAGATTTTTGGAGAATGGAGAAAATCTCTGGTGACAAAATTAACTCATAATAGATTCATACTAAATTCAACAGACCTCTACCTGTTGGGTTACTCATGTTTCTCCAGATTCTTTCTTATTGAAATAGCTTCAACCTGAAAACTGTCTCCGTGTGACTCACATACTTGTGTTTCCTTCAGCTGCTTCCTCTGCAGCAGCTTTATGCACCATAACACACACATGCCAACCACACACACACACACACACACACACACACAAGCAACAGCTACAATTTAAGTGAAATAAGTGGCATTTCACCACAAGACGGAAAACGCATTATAGAAAACCACACACACACACACACACCCACACACACACACACACACACACACACAGAGCTGGTGTTTAGTCAGGGTTGTGGTTGCTGACTGAACAGATCTCAGCTCTGTTCTGCTGCCACCAGCCTTCAGAGAACACAGGAAGTGTGTGTGTGTGTGTGTGTGTGTGTGTGTGTGTGTGCGCTCGCGTGTGTGTGCGCTCGCGTGTGTGTGAGAGAGTGAGTGGGTTGGCAGCAGTGCTCGGGTTGCTGTTGTTACCTGTCTGTTTCACATGCAGAATCCTCTCTGCCTCCTGCAGCGTTCACCCTTTCATATTAAAAGTTGTTTCACCGACTAAATTCTCATTTTAATGGCGTTTTTAATCTGAAGGGGGGAAACGTTAATGATCAGTAAGAGAGAGCCCCTTCCGACCCTTTATGTTTTACATACTGAACTGAACTGAAGTTAAGATAATTTAATGGCACCGAATTGTCAACGGTGTAAAACTCATCAAAGACCGACAGGTAAGAGGAGAGAAACACAGCGGACCCAAAGCTGTTCTCTGTGAGACAGTAAGAGGTCTCACTCTGACGCTATTACCCACTACCACCAACGTCTTCTTCCTCTGTGGACTATTTAATCATTGTATTCTAATTATGCAGATTGAGTAAAGTGTGCAGAGTAAAATAATTCCTCCAGCTGCTCCAGGTGTTTGAACAGCTTCCTCCTTTGAATTGAGTAATTATACCGTAATGTAAACTAATAGAAAATAGGTCATTATCACCATTATCAATACAGTACATCAGTCTTCCAGTCACCTGTAACAAATCAGTGAGTCAAAAAACGGTCACACTGACAGTAATAATCATCAATAATCATTTCCAGTGTTCATTCCAACCACATGATGAATAAATGAATATCCAGCGTGTGAGTTCATCTGAAGTTTCTTCACACACTGAGCGACAGTTGACCACATTGTTTTCATTGTGTTTTGTCTTCAGGCTTCATGTTGCCAGACCTCCCGGATCAGTTTGGACCCCCGGACTCAGCCCCTCCCCTCCTCAGCAGACTGATGGAGGCCATAGAGACCAAAGGTACCAAACACACACACACACATATATATAAATAATATATATATATATATACAAACATAAATAAATGAAACATACCTGATAGCATGAGCTGCCCTCTATCTCCATCTCTGTGTAAAGATGAGGTTTGTTGTTTCCTGTCGTTGAATTCTTCCAGTTGTTAATCTGTATATGATTGAGATGTGTGCTTGCTTTGTGTTGTGTTGTTAATGTGTGTTGTTGTTATTGTGTTGCTGCAGGTTTGGACAGTCCCGGTGTGTATCGCAGTCTGAGTGGAGCAGGTCTCGATACCCGGCAGCTGGCCGACACCGGTGAGGTCCCTTTTCTTTCTATCTTCTTCCGCTGTCAGATATGTTTGACTAGAAAGCAGAAGGTTGATTATAGTAAAACACGACTATACAGGAATATTTTCCAACTAACTGTACCCGTAGTCCTGAAACCTGATGTATCAACGGTCTGTGCATCTTTTACTAAACATAAACATAAGAGAACAATGTGCAACGCATCACGGAAACACCTGGTAATTTATTAAAATGACCAAATATCCTGGAAAATGTTTGAAACTTAACACTTGTCTGCACGATACAATACTTAAGACTGAGTGTGGGTCAACCAGACGTGAAGTGTTTGCTTTTTACTAGCAGCAGTTTTATTGCACTAACTTCCAGTAACCAGCGTAGTTCTCATCTACTCGAGTTATTTACGAGTTTACTTCACTGTGTCTGTGTGTCTGTGTGTGTGTGTGTGTGTGTGTGTGTGTGTGTGTGTGTGTGTGTGTGTGTGTGTGTGTGTGTGTGTGTGTGTGTGTGTGTGTGTGTGTGTGTGTGTGTGTGTGTGTAGCAAACAGACAGGCTGCTGCACACAATAATTACTCCGGTCTTTAGCTCCAGGGCCCGTTTAATACCGGATTTCTGCACCCATCCTTACATAAAATGATTTTTCTTATTCATTAAGTTTCAAGCTGTTTTTGGCGTGTTCATATCGCGATGAAGACGTAAGGTCATCCTTACTGTGCGCGTGCAGACACAGAGAGAAAAGAGGTGTTGGTGTATGTGTGTTAAATCTTTGGTTATCTTTTGGTTTGGGTATTTCACACCAGGTGGAGCGAGAGTCGATACACACACAGGTGTTTAAGATTGTTTCTGCGTCCGCGTTTCTGCTGTGAATAACTGAATCCCTGAAACTGAGGTGTGTTTGTTTTCAGACCTGGAGCAGCTGGAGGTGTCGCCGCTGTGTGACGGGGTGGTCCGGTACCTGCAGGATCTGCCCGGTCCCGTCCTGCCCTCCTCGCTGCAGGCAGACATGATTCACGCGGTGCAAGGTGAGATTAAACCCCCCTCTGGCAGGCAGAGATCAGTTGGGTTGATGTCGGTGGAGTCGGGGTTCAACAGTTCCTCTTTCCGTCTGCAGAGGTCCGCGACCTGGAGGACTGCGCCCAGGTGCTGCGGGGGATAGCCAGCTCGCCGACCTGCCCGGCCCAGTACGGCCTGACCCTGCTCAGCGTGGTCCGACACCTGGCCCGGCTCTGTCTGCACGGCTCCAGAAACCAGCTGAGCCCCCGGAACCTGGCAGAGAGCTTCAGCCCGCTGCTGTTCAGACAGACTGCAGGGTCAGTGAGAAACACACACGTTGGATTCATTCTGTGGCTCCCGACCCAAACCTGACCCAAACCTAAACCTCCACAAATTAGTCCTCACAAGATAGCAAGACACACACAGAGTTTACAGCAGCAATGGTCGTACAGCACTGTAAATTAATTAACTTATTATAATTGATTTATATTATATTATTATGTCTAATTATTGGATGATTGTTTGTTGGCTTAATGAATCATTCACTGCACAGATTGTGAACTTCCTATATGTTAATGATTACGTCTCTATGGATTGCTAAAAGCCAATTTGTGTTACTGTGCAATAAATCACTTTGTCTGTGGGACATTTTCAAGAACTCACAGAAAGTCAGAACGTGAAAGTAATGCATAATTTAATCTTAATCTTGTGTCTTTTTATTGTCTTTAAACATTAAAACAATCTGAATTCTGTGTGTGATGATGTGGAAGCTGACTGTGAGTCTCTGTTCCTGTTCAGGCCCGAGTCCAGTCTGGATCCTCTGGTCCAGGTCCTGGAGGTTCTGATAACCAGTGAGCTCAACATGAACCAGGCTGCACCAGGTATGTGTGTGTATATGTGTGTATATGTGTGTATATGTGTGTATCTGTGTGTATCTGCGTGTATCTGCGTGTATCTGCGTGTGTCCCAATCCAAGTCCTTTAAGATTGACAGGGTCCTCATGCACCCTAAAAAAACCTGGTAATTTAGATTTCCAATCATGGAAACACCTGGAAATGGATTACAATGACCAAATATTCTGGAAATAATCTCTGTAGTTTGCACATTTAGTTTGAACCTCGACTGTTGGTTGGGGAACCAGCACAGTGTTAAACACGGGATGAACTTTTTGGCATTGAGTCCTTTTTTATTTTGAGCTGTGAGCTGAATTCTGACAAAAGCTCAGTGGCAAGACGTCTTCTTGTTGTGGTTAACACCCAAATAAATGTTAATTGTACAAGAAAATAACATTTTCTACTTCTTTTAATAGCCTAAGAGGTGAGAAGATCCATTTTCTGTCATATAAAATAACCTCAACTTAGTTTGATCTTGTTACAAGTAAAACGTGATCCGTTCACTGGAGAGTACATAGTGGAGAGTCTCAAACACTGACCACCTACTGTAATGAACCTGAGACACTGATGATGATGATGAATGATTTTTTAAGGAGGTTGAACTCTGATTGAGTGTCTGCTGCTGTTATCCGATGACGTTGACGTCAGAGACTCTGTTCTGAATGTTTGATTCGCTGATGTTTGCGAACGAGAGAGCAGAGATAAAAGCTTCATTACCGTCAGAGTTTAGTTTATATTAGAGTCACTTACCTCTGCATGGTGCAGTGAAGTGCTGCCTTTTAAGGGTTAGTGGTTAATGGAGGAGAATGTAATTGTTTAGTTGTATCATTAGGAATCACATGTTTGACTGCAGGGTTAGGTTGACATATATCGCTGTTAAAGACACTTTAATGTGAACATGTTAGTGTTGATTAAACTGTTAATTCATCCTGTCAGCCGAGGAGTTAAAGAATCAAAGCTCCTTCACAAACACAACTTAAGAAGCCTCAACCTTCACGGGGTCTTCGATTATCGCTCTCACTTCCTCTAACGGCAGTGAAGCGGCGTCACGCTGGATCTCTGTCACTGTCACAAGTCACAGCTGTTGCTCAATCTGAAGGGTCAGATGTTTGTCACATTTTCCATCCAGATGAGATTATGGATGGACAGGCTGTCTAATTGAAGCCGGACATTGTCATTTGTCATCGTAGCACATGTGATCAGAAATAGTGCTGAGGCAGATTTATCAGCTGGTTGATTGATTGATCAGATACCCAGAACATAGCCAGTTTTAGCCTGATGGATTTGAGAACTGAGTGCTGATCCTCTGAGGTTTTTGTGTATGTAATCGGGGGTCTTTAACACCAGAACAATGCAGATGTAGTTTGATATCGTTGTGAAGTAGCATTGGATCATGGGAGTTGTTGTCTCTCATTGTTAAATAACATTGCTGATGAGAATCTATTAGACGTGATGCAGATACACGTTGTTCACGGATGAGGTAATGTTTAGGTTTAAGGTTACATTTAGTGGCATTTGGCCGACTTCCTTCCTTCGTCACTCTCTGATGTGTACCAGCCTGTAAACGTGTTTACTTCTGCTGTAAAGTTGTGCTTTTTAATATGGGGCCTTATGGAGACTGACTCACTGCTGGAACCAGCTTCTAGTGGCTGTTAGAGGAATTGCTTTGCTTCATTTGCAGCCACAGAGGTTGCTGATTGGTCGCTTGGAGACATTTCAATGCAGATGTTGTAACTGTCCTAAAATCTGACTGGAATTTGTCCAGGACAACTTTCTCCAGGATCTTAAACCCTAAAAATGAATCCACCAATCAGCTCTTCGATACATGTGACATCACATCTCGAGAGTGGTTTTAAAAACATCAGCTGTGTTTACTGCTCCTTAGCTATTGTTAGCATGCTAAGATGGATAACATGATAAACAATATAAACATCAGCGTGTTAGCATTGCTAGCATGGAAGTAAACTGTTGACATTTTATAGACAAAATAAACTAATTCAATTTATGGATTGTTTGAATGAATCATTCAGTCGGATTGTCTTTCATTCATTCATTCATCCGTTTCCTCTGAGTCAGTGCGTCGATCACTCAGTCGCTCACACTGAGCGGCAGCTGAAACGATGACATCATCTATCCACAGAGTGAAAGATGCAGCAGAGGAGAGGAGGGGGGGGAGGGGAGGGGGGTGTTGCCTCGGTGATATCACTGCCATCGCAGGATTGGCTGGGGGCAACGGTGATGTCACACATCTCCAAGCTGCTCTCCTGAGCTTTGAACTGAGGCTCGGGGAGGGAGACAGACGGAGAGAAAGTTGCGTCGTTTTAAATCTTCAACACTGAAGACGACTGCAGCTTTCGGATTAATGCCAAAAAAACCAACAGAAGTGGTTGTTAGTTTCTCTGTGAGTCTCGGCAAAGGTGAAAATGTGAAAGATCAGCCTGCAGGTGCAGAGGGGGAGCAGTGAAAGAGGATATCCTGCAGATTTCAGTTATCAGTGCAGTGAAGTGCATCTTTAAATTTACAAGTGACAACCTAAAAAGACCGAACAGTGGAGCTCAGAGGGGAGAACGTAGTCCGGACCTGGTTCCTGCCAGATGACGTCAGTTTTTTTTCGAGGCAGGATCGGAGCGCTCGGCTGTAGGCAGGACATCATGAGATCCAGAAAATCCGTGTTTGGTTTCCCCTGTGAGGCGTCGTGGAGGTGGGTGAAGGTTTAAAGGCCGACATGGAGCGAGAGGAGGGGGGCAGGGCCGAGGCCGAGCCGGTGAGAGGACGAGACAAGATCCTCTGCTACATTAACATGCAGAGTCCAGGTAGGAGCTCAGACCTGAACCTGGAGCTGTTCAGAGGGGGGCCGACACCTGGTGGCAGTTTAACACGGCTGCTGTAGGAGTCCTGATTAATATCCTAAAATGGGGTTATGACTTTATTTTCCATATTTTATAAAACCTGATGGAGATCTTTGTATTGAGCTGGGATAAAGATGTCTGTGGACAGAGAAGGGCGTTGTGGGTAAAAGTCGGTTGCAGAGGAATCGACGCTCTCGAACCAAATATCAGCAACACGTCATGCGGAGCTGCGCGTCAACGGAGCTGATTGGTTGATCCAAAGTCCTTTTTACATTGCAGCATCGTACACAGTAATCTTCTCTCAGAGCGGAGGGAACTACTTTCTCTTGATATCGTCGTCCCGTCCGTTTACACTCATAAATCCACACAGTCGTTGTGGTTTGTTCGCTCGAGTCGCCGAACGGAGAATCGATATCTGTTCACTGATTTCATTTTTATTTTACATGGTGGTTGGATGAACATGGAACTGATTGCTTTCAGGTGTGTATCACCGGAGTATGGATGTCACGATATCAGAAATGTAGTCGTTGATACCAGTGCCAGTGAAATTCTACGATTCTCAATACCAGTTTGATACCACGGTAAAAAATGTCCCCGATCCCCATTTAATATCTGCTGACACCGAGTCCTGATCCAGTACTTTATTGCCTGTCTGCAACCTAGCTGTTCCTTAATGTTTTTTATACATAATATATTAAAATTAATCTACAGATATTTTTAAAAAGAAAAATTCTAAATAACCAAAAAACAGCCTAACAAACTCCCTGTAATCTTTTTTTGGTCTTGTTGCTGTCTGGGTGGGATTTCTCTCTATAAAAGTGTCCTGCAGAGTTCTTTGCTTCAGTGCAGCCTTTCCCTGAGTTACCTGTATGAGCAGTGTTTATTTTCCTCATCTGTACATCTTTTCCGTGGATTGCGTGAATAAATTGCTCTTGTTGGCTTTTCATTTGCGGGACGTTTGTTGCACTAGCAGCTCCCCTAGACCTGAGTTAGCATATGCAAGTATCAGGTTGAGCTGCACAATTCATCAAAATATTATTAAAAATGTTAATGTCTACAAAATGCAAATTGCAGAAGCTGGATTTTTTTCATAAAGGTAAAATGCAACAACAGCATTATAATGACGTGCAGAGATGCTGTGGACTACAGGTCGTCTTCTCCAGATTTAAGAATAACGTGTTTGTTTAAGGACTTTTTTGGTTGTTGTTTTTTTGAAGTGAAAATTAAAATTGTGATGTAATAATGTCACCAATAATATAATCATTCTCACTAATCATGCAACATACTACAATATCTGTAGTACATGGTGACCAGGTGTAGATGTTCACCTGTCGGTTGTGTGTAGGTTTGTTGTCGGTATGTAACCATGAAGACATTTCCCTCCGCCTCGGCTCAGCAGTCTGTGGAAGATACAGCCTGATCTGTGTTTGTGACACAGTTGGCAGCTCACATTAAAGCTATAATCAGTATTTTTATTGAAAGACTGACACTGTGTTGGCTCTCTGGTAGCGATGAAGCAACAGAGAATTATCAGCTGATTCTGCAACTCCTCCCGGCTTTACAGAGCGTCGTTTTAAAGAGGAGAGGCTGTAAAAAGCCATTGAACACTACCTGCTCTCAGCACACAGCAGGACAAATGTATTGGATGCAAATCGCTGTAATCTCAAAAATCCAGCACCAGTCAGGCTTTAGTGTAGGCGAGCTTTTATTATGAACATTAAATGGAGTTTTGATATTTAACAGTGAAAAATCGACCCGTGTGCTGATGGACAAACTGTTTCTAAATGTCCTCAAATACTCAGACACATAGCGATATATCGGCCCACCTGATGTAAATAGTTAGCCTTAAAGACTTCCAGGGTGATTGTGTAGAGAATTAAAACCTCTGTTTTTAGTAATTGATGGAGCAGAAGCTGACACTGATGTAGAGAACTCTGTAAATTAAGTTTAAAGAGGCGTTATTGGTGTGGGAAACGTTTTACATTGCAAAAGCAAGTGTGAAATAAATTTATATTCAGATTATTAGGTCACTCACGGTCACATCAGGTTGTCGCATGTTTGTCTCTTTCTCCTGGGAGTATTTTTAATCGTAAGTGATAATGTATCTCTCTAAGATTACGGAGGATAATTCAATAAATAGAAGTTCCTCATTTGATTGAATGATGTTCTCTTTGTTGCAGCGTTGCCTCCTAAACCGGTCAAGTCTTCGACTCCAGCAGCTCCCAGTAGTTTTAACAACAGCATCTCCCTGCAGGACGCCGAGTGGTACTGGGGAGACATTTCCAGGTAAAACACGCACACGCACACGCACACGCACACGCACACACAAGCACACATCCAGGCTAAAAGTAAACAGCAAAAAAAAGACAATGAACAAAAAACATGTAAAAGTGATGAAATAAATATGAGTTCAGATCAAAGATTCACACGATGCAGCAGCGTCGTCTCAGCTCGACTCACTCATCTGGCTGCGTTGCTGTGACTCAGCTTATCAAATCTCCATTGTCACCCTTTAACAGCCAATCGGCTCTTTGCGAAGTCAGCTGGTCTGAATGGCAGAGTTATAGACAGAGAAAGAGAGCATCACGTAATGAATTTGTCCAACATGAACCTTAAAATTGCACTGCACAAATTCGGACACTAATTTCATCAATAAAATGCAGCTGTAGACAGTAACTCGCTCTCACTATCCTCATTTTATATTTCAGCTTTATTTTCAACATGTCTTGTTGCGAGTCTTTGGTTCAAACTGGGTTTATAGACAAAGACACATTTCAAGAACTACATTTACAAAGAATTAATGATGAGTTTATAATCCCAGCAGCCAGTTTGGGTTCATTACATACTGTCATTTATTTGATTTAATGTTATATAACATGAATCAAGCATAGCACAGAGTTTATAGCATGAACAAGTTTGCACTCAACAGTGATATACACACAGAACAAGAAGTACTTCATTAAAGTACATGTTTGAGGTACTTCAACTAGTATTTTACTTGTACTCCTCTACGTGAAAATATTGTACTTTTTACTGCATCACATTTGTCTGACAGTTTTCTATGAATGAAGATTTGTACACACAAACACATGAAGAGTTTCTAACATCTGATGTTCTGTCATTAATGAACTTACCAACCGTTTATACAGCAGAAACCATCAGTACATTAATCAGTTCATACACTGACAGTTGAAAATGATCCCAGTCAGGATCCACTTTAAGTTCTGTTGTCAGAAGTATTGATACTTTTTCAGTAGCACCACATTTAATATGATACTATCTTTCCATTATATTCAAAGTACTAAAATGTTATTAAAACCACAGAGCTCTGTGAAATTTGTTTTATTATTTAATTAGTTTTTTGTCTCTTTGCCATGGGATCATAAGTATCGTGTTTTTATACTAGCACTGTATCAATGTTTGAAACTGGTGCAGCGAGAACCTTGGTGCAGATGACAGATGAAGAACGCTGTTGTAGGACAGCGAGATGACCTTTGATGTGCTTTATGTTTGTAGAGAGGAGGTGAATGAGAAGCTGAGGGACACAGCTGACGGTACGTTCCTGGTTCGAGACGCCTCCACAAAGATGCATGGAGATTACACCCTGACTCTGAGGTAAACCAGTAAACACCGTTAAACACCAGTAATCAACGTTCAGCACCGACTCCTAAAACACACAACACAGCGCTTGCTCGGGCTTGAGCTTTAAATTCATCACATAGAAATGACAACATTTATTTCAACCAAAAATAAATCAAAAGCACATCAGTTTTATAGATCCGGTCCCAACAGTTGAGTCTTTTCTGTCGAAATTTACGTCTTTGAATGGTCTTGATTACAGTGAACTTTTATAAATGTTGCTCAATCAACATAAACCTCCTGTCTGCTCATGTATGGATTTAATAATCATTCATTTATTGACATATTGGTTTGATATTATATTTATAATATATTACTTATTATATGTAATCTGTGTCCATCTTTAAAGTACAATACTTCAATTTAACCTGTTGAAACCAGCAGAAACCCTGTTTTTACTTTTAATGCTTTAGTTAAATGTCACTGATAATACATATGTTAATATTTAATTGTGTATCTTTACTCTGTTTATGTTTCAGTTAACTATATGAGTACATCATCCATCACTGCAAACACCTAATTATTAGGAGATCTTTCATGATTAGTTGTTGTGTGCAAACAGAAGAGAGTGATCCAGTAGTAGTTTGTCTGTGGTACTACTGGCTCTGTGGTTCTGGTCCCAGTGTGATAACTGTGTAAAATGTCTGACACCAGTTTGGTTTAATGGTCGTATGTTCTCTGACCCCCTTCAGGAAAGGAGGCAACAACAAATTGATAAAGATCTTCCATCGGGAGGGAAAGTACGGCTTCTCCGACCCTCTGACCTTCAGCTCAGTGGTGGAGCTCATCAACCATTACCGCCACGAGTCCCTCGCCCAGTACAACCCCAAACTGGACGTCAAGCTGCTCTACCCCGTCTCCAAACACCAGCAGGTCTGTAGACCGTCTGATGGTGGTCTGACGGTGTCTGTTTGTCTGTTGTTGAGTCGTCTCATTGGACGTGTTGTCGTTGTGTTCAGGACCAGGTGGTGAAGGAGGACAGCATCGAAGCTGTGGGGAAGAAGCTCCACGAGTACCACCTGCAGTACCAGGAGAAGAACCGAGAGTACGACAGACTGTATGAGGAGTACACCAGGACCTCTCAGGTACACTTTGGCTGGATACATAATAAAGATAAAACACTAACAGGTAAATCAAAAGAGTAAAGAAATTAAAATAAAGAAGCCATTTTATAAAAGTCTTTAAAACCAGCCGTGGTGGAAGAGAACCTCACATATTGTACTTAAGTAAAATATTAGTATTGGCATCAAAATATACTTAAAGTACCAAAAGTAAAACTTCTTATTATGCTGAATAATATATATTTCTAATATTGGATTCTAATTCATTCAAAACAGTTTGATTCAGCACCGAATCATAAAAGATCTAGACCATATTCCTTATAATGTCCTGATAGTTCCACGTAAATTAATTCACTTGTGGATTTCCTACTTTGGATCAATACAATTTCAATTTAATCTTTAATAAAATGTCATTAATTATTAGTTATATTTTGTGTCATTAATCCAAATCTGCGAAGTAACTGAAGTTATTAAATAAATGTACTGAACTAAAAAGTACAATATATGCCTCTGAGTAGTGGAGTAAAAGTATAAAGTGGCTGATGAGACTTTACTCATAGTAAAAAGCCTGAATTAGGTCAAATTAAAAACAACCACTGTTAGTTTGTGGATCAGTAATATCATCAGCTGGCTGTAAACTGCCTCAACAACACGTCAAACTTTCAGAAGAAAAACAGAGAACACAGAGCAGATTTCTGAGAGTGAAATGAGAAACAAAGTGTCCACTGTAACCTCGAGCGTCCTTATTAACACAGATGGTTTCAGCACAGGTGCAGTTTTTATTGTTAACACTGTTGTAGTAACAGACAGACAACACAAGGTGGCGCCACTCACTGAGCAGCATGTTGGGATGCAGCATGCATGCTTGTTTTTCTTCAATCCCTCCTCTGATTTTGTTCACCTGTCCCCTTTCTCCTCCTCTTCCTCCTCCTCCTCTCTACCCTCACACCCTTCCTCCCCCCTCCTCTTCGTCCCTCAGGAGATCCAGATGAAGAGGACGGCCATCGAGGCGTTCAACGAGACCATCAAGATCTTCGAGGAGCAGTGTCAGACTCAGGAGCGCTTCAGCAAAGAGTACATTGAGAAGTTTCGTCGAGAGGGCAACGAGAAGGAGATCCAGAGGTAGGCTGTTGCCACGGAAACTGTGAGGGAGACCTTTTAAAAAAAAAAAAAAAAAAATACACACAGAAATATGAAGGAGCCCTTGTTGCCATGGTACCAGAGGCTGTGGGAGGAAAAGCACCTGCTGGTAAATTTAGTGTGAAGCTGAAAAAAGTCATTTGTGTTCAGGAATTGTTGTAATTCAGTGGTTGGTCAGCAGGGAGCAGCGTTCAGCACAAAGTCACACAGATTGGCAGGAAGATTACTCAACAGTATGTGAATATACAGTGTTTAACTAACAGGATTAAAAACAACCACAGTGTGTGTCACTGTGGTGGGGTTTACAGTCCTCTTGGTATTTATGTGCACCAAAGCTGTGCAGTAATATTGTTCATTTGCAAATTCTATTTTAAGCTAATTGTAAATACACGCAACCATAATAAGTCTTTAGGCTTTTGTTTTAATGTAATGCACAACAGTTCACTGCATGAAACATACTGATTATTATATTTATATAACCAAAAAAAAAAAAAGACGTTACACATCACAGAGTTGGAGTTATCCGTATTGGTGTGGACGACCCTTTACTATTGTGTTCAGAAACCGAGAGGAAACATGGTTTAAAGAGTTAATGTGACACAACCAATAACCTACAATAACTACAACACCAAAACAAGAAATACACATCACTGTGTTCAAATAAAGACCTGATCCTCTGTTCTCAGGATCATGGAGAACTACGACAAGCTGAAGTCTCGGATCAGCGAGATCGTGGACAGCAAGCGCCACCTGGAGGTCGACCTGAAGAAACAGGCGGCCGACTACAGAGAGATCGACAAGAAGATGAACAGCATCAAACCAGACCTGATCCAGCTCCGTAAGACCAGGGACCAGTACCTCATGTAAGACACACACTCAGAAACACACACACAGATGGAATCAAAGCTGTGCGGTTCCACGCTAACTGCTGTGTTTGTGTGGCAGGTGGTTGACTCAGAAGGGAGTTCGTCAGAGGAAACTGAACGAGTGGCTCGGCCTGAAGAACGAAACCACAGAGGAGTAAGTCTGATCCGCTCTACGCTGCCCCCCCAGTGGAAGGGGTTGGGTTTTTTCTGATACTGGTCTGCTCTTTCAACCTGTAAACACAGAGCAGCTCCACAACAGAGAACCAGGCTCTTAGTAATCATCAGTAATCCCAGTGTGTGAGTGTGATACCCTGCTAACATGCTCTGTGTGTGTCCCCTCCGTCCTCAGTGAGTACAGCATGGTGGAGGATGAGGAGGACCTTCCTCACCATGACGAGCGTCTGTGGCGTCTGGGAAACATCAACCGCAACCAGGCCGAGTCCCTGCTCCGCGGGAAGAGAGACGGGACCTTTCTGGTCCGGGACAGCAGCAAGCCGGGCTGCTACGCCTGCTCCGTGGTGTAAGACTCATCTGCTCCTCTACCTGCTGACTGATCAGTTGATGCTTTTGTTTTGAAAATGTCCTGTAGTTGTCTCTTTATCTAATCTCTCTTCTGTCTCTTCCTCAGTGTGGACGGAGAGGTGAAACACTGCGTCATCAACAAGACGAGCACCGGGTTCGGTTTCGCGGAGCCTTACAACCTGTACGGCTCTCTGAAGGAGCTGGTGCTTCACTACCAGCACACATCGCTGGTCCAACACAACGACTCGCTCAACGTCACGCTGGCCTTCCCCGTCTACAGCCAGCAGAGACGGTGACCCGCCTCCTGATCCACACTGGCACCGTGGACCAGCAGGAGACCTCGTTTACACACTCGACCCCCCTCCCCAAGAACACAAGCCGGTTGGGCCACACGACACATTCAAAGCTCTGTGATTAGATAGCACAATAGTGACGTCCGGGACGGACATCAGGAGTCTGTCTCAAAGACTATAAACAGTCCTGGTGCTGCAGATCACAAAGGTTAAAGTCCTTACATGGAGCTCTTACTTCCTGTCAGCAGCTCCACCTGATTTAAAAAAACTCTGCAGTGAAAATATAGTTCAGTTATGCAACATCAACATACATTGTGATTTACTCTCATCAGAGATCAGATACTCGAGGTCGGGATCACACAGGAACCTTATTGTTCATTTTTCTGGCGGATTTGAGCGTCGCTACAATGAAAGAGCGTTTGGAGGGTTCTTAAAGGGTTAAAAAGGCATTCTTCATTTCATCTGGAAAATTAGAAAAGTGAAACAAAAAGAATTCCTAAATTCAGACTTTAAACATTTTCTGCAGCTAGACTTGTTGTGCTGCTTACAGCGAGTTTAATGTCCATTTACTGTACGTGCTGTCAGAGCATAACGATAAACCACTCAGGTGCGACAAGAGAGGATAACTGTATGTCTAATACCCAATCAGGTTCACTTACCACTAACGTTTGATAACCTAATGAACAGGAAGGCTTCCTGTGTGATCACGACTTCACTCTCCATTTCCTGTCTGTGGCGAAACGAGGAACTGAACTGTCGCTTCCTTTCGGCTTGTGGAGGTCAGAACTGGTCTGGAGCTGAGTCGTCTCCATTAATCATGAACTGCTGATCCAGAACGCTTCAGCAGAACCCCAACTGGACCGGACTCTGATGGTGTTCTTCCACCAAGATAGCTCTGGTTCTTGAACCGGTTCTTGGACTCTTGGAACCTCGGTGCTATCTCGTGATCCACCAGTTTTGAGGGGAACCATTGTAATCAAGGATGCATCATCAACGAAGGGCGCTGCACGACCACCTGTAGAATACGACGCGCCCACTCCAGTTCCCGAGGTAAACCGGCTGTATTTTGGTGCCAGCTAGGAACCAACTTTTCAGGTTCCATGTTCAATGTTCCCAACGGTTCAGAACTAGGTGCTTCAAACCGGAACAGAGCCGGTTCCCTGTTGGTGGGAAAGACCAATGAGACTAAAACAAACTGATGATGATGTCAAAGGCAAAACGGCGGACAATCTAGAGAGACTTTTATGCGAACACTGTGAGGGACTCCGAACGAGGTTTAACATGAGGGCAATTTTCATATCAGGAGAAATAAACAACCTGCATCATCCAAAGACTCAACCCCCCCAGCACCGCCTCCCCTGGACCCTCCCATCAGCAGCGTCCCGGTTCTTCAGGTCTGTCTCGTTTACCGCCCGAGAATGTTTTCATTTTGCTGAGCAGACGGACGACTCTGGTATTCTTTTGCTTAAAACGTCCACAAAGATTTTCTGGATTAGAAACTGTGACAGACGAGAACTTTCTGGATCTGCTCGAAGGATTTTCAGCCGAGCTTCGTGGACTGAGCGCAGCCTGTAAACAAACGGAAAGTGATGGATTATTTTTTCCCCCTTTTGGTGCATTAAGAGAAACCAGGTACAGGAGATGAAACGGTCTGTATGGATGTTGAGGGACTCCCAGGTATTTCATCTGTTGTCATGGTAACCTCCTGGTGACTTTTTCCACTCCTGGATCGGTTGCAACGTGTTTGGAAATGTCCTGAATTTTTCAAGCTCTTATTTTACTTATTTCGTAAAAGTCCAGTTTGTTTCCTTTCTGACGTTAATCCAGCGAACACAAAGAGAAACCGCTAATATTTAGACGACAACGAGTCAGGAACTGTTCATTGTTTAGGAGCTCCGATTAATAAAACGGTTGGTTTGAATTCTTTTTTATACTGCGAGAAACATTTTGTCTCCATTTTGTTTAAATAATCTCCAGAATCAGCGGAAACCTGGAGGTGAAAAGACAAGTATTCATCCACAGACATCTTTTATTTCTCCAGTGAACTGTAATTAATAGCTGATGTGTGTGTGTGTGTGTTTGTGTGTTTGTGTGTGTTAGACATTCATTACCTTCCTCACTTTGAGTCGCATGTAGACATTTTCATATTTGAGATTTGTGCACTGACGATTACATTTAAGGCCTCTTTTTGTCAAAATTTGATCAAATTAAAACAACGCATCCTCTGAATGCAGCTGCAACTAAAGATTGTTTTCTTTGATTATCCCTCGATTCTTTAATTTAATCACTTAGTTGAGGCAAATTTCAGTCCCTCCAGGAAGTTGCGAGCACAACAGTTACAGATTTAACCAATCCCTGTGAATTCTGCACAATCTCGTCCAATCACCACAACTTTTCTGACTGATCCTTGTAGTTGTTGTAGCAAATTGAGATTGAGAATAGATTTGATTTTTATTCTCACTATTTTTGCAAGTTTCACTTCACTCATTTCAGTTTTCATTGCAAAATAATCCCTAAAAACATTGCAACATTAAACACAATTTTTGCAGCCTGTGAGATCCTGAGGGACTTCTTCTCAAGTTTTTTTTTATCCAAACTACAGTCCAAAAGATATTCAGTAGAACCACAACAGGCAATGATTTTTCGTTATCAGTAATTCTAATTCTAGTAAGTCAATTAGTTTCTTGTCAAAAATGATATCAGACTGCTTGTTGTGTTCGAACGTGACTCCAAAACTCAAAACATATTGAGTTCACGTCAAAAGAAAAGCTGCAAATTTTCTGAAAAATCCCTTAAAGATGAATCGAATTACTTCAGCTCTTTGTTTGACAACGTACCAAGTTTGTTTGTATTTTGAGCCATTTTTTAGAAGAAATTACAAGTGTAATTATGATGAATTTTCTCTTTCAACTACAGTAACAGTAAAACGTTATATTTTATGGATGCAGGAAAGACCAACTATATTTGACATGTAATGAATTTTGATCTGTAAATAATTACATAAAATGTTTGGAAAGAACAATGGAAATACAATTATTCCCAACAAAAACAACACAAACAAACAATATTAATGAAAAGAGTGAATGAAATAAATGTTTAATTTATGTAAAAAACAATAAAAAAATGGGCCTGATACTGAGCCCTGAGGAACTCCTCCATTTAGAACCGACTGATTTATGTTTCTCTTCAGTTTGTTCTTGGTTTCATTCTCGGTTTTAAATGATAATTAGTGCAAAAGTCTCAAATATCGGAACTGATCTGCTTGTATGTAACAAACTGAGGTCGACTCATTGCAGGTTTAAAAATCATTCCATGGTTATTAAACTGGATTCTTAGGATGTTTGAGCTTATTCGTCTTTGTTTTTTCTTACAAACTGACAAGAGAATTTATTTTCTGAATTACTTTCTGGCCTGAAAGTAAAAGTACATTCTGAGTAAACTCCTGTCAAGATACAGTTTTTGCATGGTTGCATTCTTTTTAATATGATGTTGGATTAATTTCAGGCAGTTTTTGAAATGTAATGGTTTTGCTTTCATGATGCAGCATCTGTGGCTCATAAATATTTATTTTGATTAAACATATTTCCATTTTCTGACCGTATTTACCCAGTGTGGATGAAAATGATGATTAAGAGAAACGGTGGCATTGTTTTGGTTTCTCCAGCTATTATTTGTTTCAGTGTATACTGTTTTCAGATGATGGGACATATTTCCAGGTAGTTTTAGCCCATACGGCCTAAAACTTCAAAGTCAGACTAAACCACCAACTGCTCGTGCTGTTTCTGCTGAACACAACAATGTCAATATTCACCTCATTATATTTTCAGAAGCAAGTCAGAACACTGGTGAGTAAATCTGTTTGATGTTCATCCTCATTCCATAAAATACATAAACAGTATTTTCTGTATCAGAAATCATCATCTTTTGTTTTTTATTCCTTCTCTCTTTGCTTCTCACTCATGTTAATGTCAGAATTGAGCAAAATAAAGCACCAGGATCTTGAAACGTTTGTGTTCTCTTTATTTTCAGTTTTAAGTTCAGTAGAGTCTTTTAACTCTGTAAGGTCGGCTTTAACTAACAGTTAATTCTCAAATGTTGGCTGAGTATTCTGTAAAATTCAACATTTCAAATTTTAACATTAGAAATAAAAATATTGTCACAACCGCTGCAGAGCTTTGAGGCATCTCTTCACTCACAGTTTTGGGTTTTAAAGAGCTCAATCTGGAAAGAAGCCATGTGTTAGTGATAAACATATATTTCATTCATCATCATCAATGCATCCAGATTTTAAATCGCTTATATTTAATTCCTTAGTTATTGAACAAGCTCGATAAATCTAATTTATAATCAAGATTCATCTGAACTATCTCCACATCCTTTAGGAAAAATAATAAAACAATTCTGTGGTTAATTTAATATGAAGTAATGCTTGATTGAGATTAGTAAAACTTATTCATATTTAATATATACTATTTTATATATTTAATATTTACCCCAGAGAGGTGGAGTGAAGGCGGAAGGTGATACCAACTCCTATCTGCTTGAAATGAACCATCAGCAGTCTCACAGTTTTCACTGCAGGTGTTGACATTAATGTTGGCTTCATTTACAGATTTGTTGACACATTTACACATTTCTATACATTTGCAAATCAATACAGGTTTTGCTGTTTGGCTCCATACTTCTCTGCCAGAAAAACAAAAGCTGTCACACACCAACGGTAGCCTAGGAGCCCATGACTCCCGTAATCTGCCACTGATTGCTCATGTTTCTGTTCCTGCTTTTTCAACCACATGAACATAAAAGATTGATTTCATCCTTGGAGCCAAATGGTGGATGTTGATTTGTGAGTAGTGACCTACTCCGGCGACCTGGAGCAGAAATGTGATGTTACTTTCGTTGTGTCAGATAATCACAGAGGCATGTGCACATTTCCAGACGCCAAGCAGAGGCTGACGAAATGATAAAATCTTAAACAGTAAAATCAGTTCTATAGTGCAGGTTTCAAAGCTAACCAACATTCACCTGTTGCTGCTCAGTGTTCTTGTTAGTATGGGAATTATTTACAATATGTATTATTAATTCAACAAGAGTAATTCGGGTCCTTTAAGTCAGCTTAACACTGATTCCTCCTCATGATATTGTTAATCAAGCAGGTTCTGCATAGTGGCAATTAAATTAATTTTGTGATTTTGTGATATCAAATAATTCATGTAGGTGTGGGTTTTTTGGAGGCAGATGTTATTATTTGCATTAAAAAACTGAAGAGTTTTTCTCTTCATGCAGCTGTATTTTTACTTTACCCAAACTATTAGTAAGAATTAAAGAAGAAAGGACATTTAAAATGAATCTTCAGCACACATAATAATTTGAATGATTTTATTTCCAAGAATAAATGAGAAAGGAATTAAAATAAATGACACATATGATTTGATATGATTATGAAACATTTGAGTACAGTAACAGTTAGATGAGTTAAAAATGTCCAAAACATTTAAATCAAAGCACAATGTGAAGTAATTAATAATATTGTAATAATAAATACAGGTTGCTGTTAAAGTAGAAATTTCCTTTACTTTCATTCAATACATAAAGTCTGATCGTGTCCAAAATCTCTACAATGTCAGCGATGAATCCAATGTTATGATAATCTATATGTCCCCAAGCTAAGAGCCAGGATGAATTATATTATTATAATGATATAAGTCAGTCTTTCCTCAATATGTAGTTGATTGATTACTAAATATGATCCATTCAGACACCATGCTTCTAACTAAAAAAAATGATGTTTGTCAATGATGCACAAAATGCCCTGACCTGTCATGAGCTTTAAAAGTAAACTCAACTACAATCGACTGCAAACCACAAAAAGATAAAATGACCAATGTTCAGTGAAATTCAGATACTGTCTCCTTGTGTTCAGAGATAAATTTCAACTGCAGCCTCACAGAACTCTACATTGCATCTGCCATCATAGAATCTGATTCTCCTTCAACATTTGTTTCTGTTGGTTTCTGCTGTGTTTCTTGTTCTCTCCTTAAAAGTGATTTTCTGCATGTCAGTAAAATGATAACACAGTGGAAGAGGACGAGACTGATGCAGATAATCCAACTTATGGCTGAAGACCAAACTGCTTCCTTGTGTCTTAACTGACACTCTTGTAGCAGCCGGTCCACTGACACCTCCACGTCTCTGAAAACCAACTTCAAATGACCACATTCATTATCATCACTGGTCCAGCCTTCAAGTTTAATTTTAACAGTAGTTTGGTTTTGTCCAAAGAAAATCAGAAGAACTCTGTCAGATAACAGTTGGCAGTCAAATAATGGTGTTGACCGTGAGCTCAAGTACAGGACGTCTGTGGCGTTGTCCTTTGCACAGTTGTTTATGGTGACTGCACCGTGGTTAAAAGCCACCATGTAAATGTCATTTCCTTCACCTCCTTCCAGGTAATCACCACCAGTGGACACCAAGATGTCGCTGCCGTCTGAGCCTTTGAGAAGAGAACTTTCATAACCAGACACCAAGATATCAGAATAGATGGTGCCAATGACCGTCTCCACATCCTTCAACACGTCCCCCTCAGCATCAGCATAGCGGCCTTGTCCAGTCAGCAGGTTAACATAAACCCCTTCACCCGTGTCATGATCACCCCGGTACAGAACAGTGTCTCTGCCAGGACCTCCGTCCAGTAGATCGGCCCCAGGTCCAGGAATGAAGATGTCCCGGCCAGAGTTTCCCATCATAGTGTCATTTCCATCCTCACCATAAAGAGTGTCGTCTCCCAAGTCACCAACGAGGACGTCATCTCCGTTCCCTCCTATCAATGTGTCATCTCCTTCGCCTCCTTCCAACACGTCATCCTTCCATCCACCAATTAGAGCATTGTCTTGAGCATTACCCAGTATGTCATTGGACTGTGAGGAACAGCCATGCACTGTATGGACCTTGGACAGATTCCTCTGAGAGCTGAGGTCCAAACGGCAGTCAACATGCGATTGTTTCAGAGTCACTTTGAAAGCTTCAACGTTAAAGAAAGAGTCGTCTCCAGCTGAGTTTACTGATTTCAATTTAAAATTCACTCCGTCAGAGCTCTGGAATTCTAGGTGCTGATGTTGGTCACCGTTATTGTAGTTGAGCAAACTGAATTTTAATTGTTCCTCTTTTGTTGTGATCAGCACATCAAGATCTCGCGTTTTTGAATCCAGTGCGATTTGACTGCCAGCAAGGAAATCCATACCAATCATCACAGTATCAATATTCTGATCTTCTGCAAAGTTATCAATCTTTAAGTTGGTACCATATCCATGTTTGATTATGTAAGTGTCTTTTCCTTCACCTCCAAACATCAGTGCACCCCCGGTGTAAGGATCAAGCAGGTTGGCATTGCTGTTCCCAACCATGATGTCAAAACCTGTGGAGCCATACATTTCTTTCACTGAATCCATATTATTCATCATCATCACTTTGCCTTTAAAGTCGCAGAAGAGTCTGTCTTCTGTATGTGTTCTTCTATATCTGAAACACTCATCATATATAGATAAAAATAACTCATCTGATGTCTCAATTTTTTGAAGTGGTTCAGGTTTCTGGTTTCTATAGTCAACAGTTAAGGGTTCCAATAAAGACTTGTCACAGCTGCTGCGGTTGGACATCAGTCCAGCTGTTATTCCGTCACTGGTCTTGATCTGCAGGTGCTGATGATTCTTTGAGTTAAACCAGTTCTGTAAAATAACATATTTTCTGCCGTATACTGACATTATGATGCTCTGTCCTTCACACGTACATGTGATGTGCTGATATTCTTCTTTCAGGAAGATAATGTCCACGGCTAGATCTGGGGATTGATTGTTGATGGTTTTAATTCCTTGTCCTGGTGTGATAATGTACCAGTCCTCTCCTCCTCTACCTTGCATAAAATCATTTCCACTTCCCGGGACAAAAACATTGTGTTCTTTATTCCCTCTGATGTCATCATCGAATGCTGACCCGCGGACCTCTGTCACACTGTGAAAAGCCTCATCCTCCTGAAGGTCCACCACCAGATGAGATGGAGAGCTGCTGTAGTCAATGCTGCGACTTTTTATGCACTTGGTGAAGGGGTCCTTCTGCTGGCAGTCAGCCTTGTTATCCGAGATTGTGTAAGTGATCAGATCTTTTGTCACAACAAGCAAGTGTCTGTCTGCTGGTGATCTGAACCACCTCACTAAAGTCACATGGATGGCTATATTCATATGGAAAGCGTTCAGAACAACATTATCACCTTCTACCTTGACATTAAAAGTATGAAGATTTGCTTCTATTATGACCAGGTCTGTTTTATTGTCCCTGGAGAAATTTTCAATCAACACTGAGGACTGTTGTCTGTCTTTCACTATGTACATGTCTTCTCCTTCACCCCCAGTCAGACGATCTCTACCTCCTCCTCCATCCATCAGATTCTTCTCTCCATTCCCAATGAGCACGTCATCATATCGAGACCCAAAGATATTTGTAACTGTACTTAAAAGTGGTTGTGATGCATTCACAATTTCACCACGTGTCTTAAACATCATGTTAATTCCTGTGGCCACCAGCCGAACAGAAGAAACCACAGTGGAGGAAATCTCAAATAAAACTCCGTCTCCTGACATCATGTTCATGTGACGATACAGTTCCCCTAAAAACCATCCTTCTATGGTCACCGTATGACTGCCCTCATACATTAACACAACATCATCTCCAGATTTAGACACAGAAATGTGAGTGTAATCAACACTGAAGTGAAGAGTGTCCACTGCTTTGGAAGGATCGTAGTTGTTAATAATGGTTTTCCCTCCATTTTCAGGAATGACGTATGTGTCTTTCCCACCAGAGCCTTTAACGTAACTTCTCTGTGGACCGAGGAAGAATATGTCATCACCTGGTTCACCGTAAAGCTCGTAATAGTAACTTAACATCACTTCAATCATATGTTGGTCGTCTGATTTCTGAATAGCAAAGAAACGATTAGAATCTCTATTTCCTTTGTATATCCCATATCTGGAATTAGATACAGCTTCATAACCTGAAACCACTGTCACAGAGCCGGCAGGTATGAACATGAGTACTTTCTTCTGTAGTGTCTTGTACTCTAACTGATGTGATTCCCCCAGGCCAAGAATAATATCTTGGCTTCCATGTGTATCAATCTTCCAACACCTCCTTCCAAAACTATACTCGCTAGAAACAAAATAGTCCATGCAGAGCTCAGACTGACCCTGGTCAGCCAGGCAGAAGTTAATACCTCCACCATTCCAAGAAGAGCCACCACCACTAAAATCAATGGCATTGGTTCCATCCTGTTCCTTTGTAACTTTGTAATATTTTTGGTAGTCTGATATCTGTGCAACAAGTCGGTGTCCCTCCTCAATTTCATCGTAATGCCAATCGTAAAAGAAACTTGCCACATTAATTACAAAGTGCAAAATCCCCTTCCCAAAGCCACGAAAAACAGCCAGCAGTTTTTGTGCAACTCCAGCATCCTTTGGGAGGCTGTTTAGTTCATTCTGTATACTCATATAAAAATCATCAATGACCATCCGGACTACTGATAAAGCGAGGTTTATAGGCATTATAAATGGTGCCAGTTCAGGCTGAACAATTTCAATAACATCCAGTTCAAGCATAACACCATCTAAGGCAGCATCAATGTATCCCAGTGTGTCACCTCTCTCCAAATCTTGTTTTAAATTGTATAACCCAAATCCAATCCCCACTATTGGTATGACAGTCATTGTGCCCTTCATTACAGGGGTTGCAGCTCTGGCGATTCTTGCCTCTGAGGACAGAGTTTGTCTCGCAATAACAGACGTTGTCATTGCTGTCACTCCATGAGCCGTTTGCAACGTTCCCATCACACCATCTTTAACATCACCCTGTTCAAAAGCACGAACAGCTCCTTTCATCCCCAGCATGAGACCCAACACCCCAACAGCACTCCCACTGTGCTCTACAAACTTGTTGACCTTATGGGAGGAGACTGAACCGTGACTCTCCAGATCATGGATTGCTGTGTCAATGCCCTTCAACATCTTTTCATTGTAGTGTTGACTCTCTGGAGATAACGCAACCCTAAACTCAACAGGTTCAACATCAGCACCCTCAGACACAACGTTACATATGAACTGTCCATTCTCCATCATGGCACTGCTCTCCTGAATGTGCAACCCTGCCAGACTTTCTCCATACTTTGCCTTTATCTGACTGTGGATTTGTTCAGCAGATAATGCTCTTGCCCTGGAGAAATATGATTCAAGTTTGAAGGAATTCTCCAACTCTCTGGCAGATTTTAGGTCTTGGGATGTTGTGTGGCCATCATTGTAGCCTCCTAATGCGCCGGATGCTTGCGGTTCACTGCTATCTTGTGTTTTGAACAATTCGTAATCTTTAATAATGGTTTCCTTACTTTCAGATATCTTGTATTTTTCCACAACATTCAATATTTGAGACAGAGAATCTTTTTTATTCTCTCCAACCCATAATTTGTAATGGTTGAATTCTTTTATTAGGACTTCTTTGAGTGCCAAATTTAAATCATGTTCTGTCGGAGGGTATCGATTTTGTAATTTGCTAGAACCTTCAGGTGTTGCTGAGCCACTAAATCCTCGCCTGCTTGGGTCAACCCAACTACCTCCCCTTGCCATTGGATGGTCTTCAAAAAAAAACCTCAGTCCTTTCTCTCGGATATTGTTGTTTTTGCTTTCAACCATATCCAGGGCCATGAGAGTCAGAGGAAATGTCCGGAAGTTTCTAGCAGATTCAGATATAACTGATGCAGTGAAATATGTGGTGTACCAGGCCTCAGTGGGTAGTGGTAGGTAAGTTGTGTGCTCTCCAAGAAAAATATCTTTCACATATTTAACATATTGTTCTTTTGGGTTATTTATATTTTTATCAAGAATTTGTTTTCGCATGTCTGGATATTTTTCTTTGCCTATCTGTTTAAAAATGCAGGCTTTAATTTCATTAATTTTGTCCTCATTTCCAATTTGATTGTTGTCAAGCTTTTTTCCAACTGGATACACATACAGACTTTTATGATCAACAAGGTATATCCAGTCTTTGACCATCAGGTATGTGTCCTCATTCTCCCCGGTCTTTGCATAGTGACGGATGACATTTCTGATATCGTCTCCTGATTTAATCTCATAACACTTAGACAGAACATCCTGTGGTATCTGTTCATCTGCTATATACTCTATCTTATTATTAGATTTGCCAGTTTCTTTTTTCATTATTACATAATGCTGTTCTTTTTGCTGCAAGTTATTGGTGTTAATCTTTTGTGGAAGGGGCAGGTCTCCATGGAAGAATCCCCAGGACACAGCCTCAAGTTCATCAAAAGCAGAATGTATCTGATTAAACTTATTTTGGTCAGAATGCTTCAACTTCTCCAAAACATTCTGGCTAATATGTCTCTTAGGCTCCTGTGGCCAACTGTCTCTATAGGTCAGAAAACGTTTTCTCGGATGCATTAGAAGGTTTCTTTCATTAGTAAAAATTGCCTTTCCTTTACTGCCAGGCTCGTTTCTAATAACAACGTCTCCATTACTATCAAGGGTCGCCACCACTTTCTTGCTGTCATCTTTATGTCGCCATTGCAGCCCTTCTGTAGAGATGTCTTGGGTGATTTTCTCCCCTGTGTGTCTGACCTGGAGCACAGCATCCCTGAGGTGTAACTCTGTCTTGATGCCGGCGGTCTCATGGAGGTCCCTCAGGAGGGTTTCAACAAAAGCTTTATCTGCTCCGACCTCACAGGCCACCACACTCGTTGTTTTGATTTTATCAGAAAGCCTGGGGGTTTGCTGAATGATTTTGGAGACTTCTTGTGCGCTGAATCCTGCCAGTTTCGTCTCTCCTGAGTTGTCTGTCACACCATGGCCTACCAGCACCAGTCTGCTGTCCTCTGTCAGAGGCACAGAGTCACCGTGAATCAGTTTTGGTTTTTGGTTTTTATCAAGAACGTAGACAGAGCTAACGGCTGGATGTTTCTCATACAGATAAACAGCAGCTTTTCTGACAACAGGGTCGTCCTCCATGATGAGGATCTGCTGGTGGTCATACTGTGTGCTGTGATCAACCGGTCTTTGTGGAATTTCGTAGTGTGAAACGGAGTCAAGTTGGTTCATGACCTGGTAAATCTGGTGATTCTCCTGGGTTGTTTCTAAGACTGCTTTGATGCCACGGACCACAAAAACCCGAATGAAGTTATGTTGGAAGTCTGTGGTTGTGTTTCCATCGAAGGAGAACACCGGTACGGCTTCCAGGGAATGTTTCAACATCAGCTCTGCAAGCGATGAGCCAGAAAGTCCAGACACAGATTGTCCATCTTCTGAAACACTTCCAAATATTTTCACTACAGTGTAGCCGTCTGCTTCTGGTACACACGAAGCATTGTGCAGGCATTCTAGGCTGACTATTACTGAGTAATGAGGATCCATGCTGTATTCCTGTTGGACTCTTTCATTTGTTGACTTTTCTTTGTCAGTCATGACCAGAAGTCTTTGGCTGTAGCTGTGAGAGAGCTCTGAAGCACTGAGCAGCCAATCTTGTATCTTGTGTTCATCAACAGCTCCCAAGAAGCTGTTGAAATCCTGGAAAGCAATTGAAAATAAAATTAACATACAAAAATACAACAGATAATCAGAGAGCAATTATATCAAGATAACTGTCTATGCAGGACGGTGTATTTCAATCTGTGTATTCTGATGTGTGAATTCTTTGGACAGGTTTTGGGTCCAGTTACATTGAGTTCAGTTCTTCTAAACTAAGCACTGCTTCTGATTTTCTAAAATCCACCAACCTGTCCCATCTCAATGACACACATTGTGAAATTCTTCTCACACTCCTGCAAATCATTCAACAGACTCAGTGGGTTTTGGTAAATGTCCGCCCTAAAAGATTAGAAGATTACATAAACATTAACATGTTTATCACAAAAACAACACACATCTAGTAAAACCTGATAAAGACCACATGAAAAGTTAATCTGACTATTTTGCAAAGCTGTAGCAAGACCTCAAGGACAGCCAGAACAGATTTTGCTTCTATTTGTATAAAACTGTAAATCCACATTGAGACTTAATCTTTATGGGCTTATTCCAGGTGAAAGGTCACTCATACATGTCTTCATTTTCATTATCTTTAAGTAATGTGACATTTGAAGACCTTCCTGTACCAGAATAAATGGCTGAAGTAGCCAAATCAATACCATGGTCAGTACCTCTTTCTTTTTTTCCTATCACTTAATCTGAGATCATTCTTTCAGTTTATCAATCAATGGACATAAGAAAACTGTCCATCACAATTCCTCAGAGCTGTAGCTAATAAATGTCTTGTTTTGTCCAACTAATTGTCTAACTAATGAAAGTACTCTCACCATGATGGCACCAACAATCTCAGTTGAGAGCAGAGTAAATACTTCATTACCTGGTACTGGATCTTTTACCTCTGGCCCCATGGATGGATGCGTGCCTAAGATGGAGTAAAGTCCATGTTACATGTTCAGTGCACATTTCTTTGGTGACGTCTTAATGAATTCTTTAATTACTGAAAATAATGCACCAGGGGGTCCCTATGATATGAATATATTTCCTAAAATATACATATATGCATGTACCAATACCATAACAGATGAAGACACCAAACATTTATTAAGATACCTTTGGTTTGAGTTCTTGAGCCTTTCGTGGAACATGTGTTCAGGAAGTCCTCTGAGGCGGTGCAGTGCAGCGATATCAGGTCTGAGCTCCTCCCACTCATCCTCTCTCACCTCTGTGAAACATTTCATTATTATTAATATCATAATCATGATTATTATTATTACTAATATTATTTGATATTACTGTTTAGTCAGTTTAAAACAAAAAACAATTGGATTTCCTCACTTCCCAAATTCATAAAATGATAATCTCTGCTCTGAAATTACATTCATACGAAGATATTTACGTCTCTCTTTTTTTCTGATTTGTTGTGGCAACATGGAGTCTTCACTGTGACTCCAATTTACTTTATATCCTGAAAAGATGCCAAACTCATTCATGAGCTTAAATAATTGTGCTGGATTTGAAGTGAGTAGAGTCACACATGACACAAATGTATTAGGTGTTCCTTATGCTCATGCTTATTGACTGACATCTTTGTTAAAATGTGAGTTTGGTTGCTCTTCTGTTCAGTTTCTGCTCAGTGAGTGTTTCCTGTAGTATCAAACCACACTTGCTGTTACTGTAGTGGATAATATGAAACATGCCAGATAGCAAAAGACATTAATTCAGTGTTGGATTTTGGTCAGATTGGTTATTTTTGGCTGAGGTTGAAAAATCTATGTTGATTCAATGTTTAATTATAGTTACCATTTCAACGTTTGAAAACCTGTTGTTGAATCAATGTAGTATAGATGATGATTTTTCAATGTTGAAATGCCCTACAATGAATCCACATCGTTTCAATGGTGCTGATGGGGTGCGGGGAGGAGAGGGGGGAACAGGGGGGCTTACGAGACCAGCGAGATCTCACAGGACTTGAGCTCAAACTGTGGCGGGAATTTGGGCATTTGCGGGAGGCAAGTGGGCGCAGAACGGCAGATAAACTTCGTCCTTCTGCGTGTGAGACTAACTGGTAAATCCTTCTGGAATATCATTTATTGCCCCATTCAGATACCATCATATGGCTGTCATCCTTTGACTCAATGTTAACTTGGTGAATTATTGTTCCGTGGCAACTTAGTCCGGAGTGTGTTGCTTGTATTAGCAATGCAGAACTGCAGCTATCCTATTTTTTATTTTACAACTTTACAACACTTTTTTTCTTTCTTTTTGTGACAGCAGCTGCTCATCAATTTGATCGCAAGTTGACAGAATTGCAATACAGGAGTGCACTGCAGGGGTGCACCTGAGAGGAGTGGCGGGGTACCAAGAAAAGAAAAGGCAATGAGTTGAATCTTTAAAGCTACTATGCTTTTATGTTCAGTTCATGTTGAACTGTGGTCCTATTTCTGAAGGACATTTGCCATGTTTGTGTCCCCTGGAGTTTCAGGGCAAATAGATAATTCTCCACCCAAGCCAGGCAGGAAACCTTACAAGATGAAAAGGTGTGTGCTAAAAAAAAAAAGTACAACAGTGTAATTGCTTTTGAATATTTAATAAATAACTTATTGAATAATGGTCTGTTTTGTTCATAGAGCATGCAGTAAAGCAGCTGTTCTCAACCTTGGTTTATTAAAAAGAATTGAAATAGCCAATCTAATGGGGTTTTTAATGAGGCATATTAAAAACATACAAAGGAAGGTGGAAAAGTGTTGAAATGGCCCTTTAATAATAACCTTGTAATGCAGTGCATATATATAGTTGAATCAAGGTTGATTGATTGTCAGAATTGATTGGAAATTCAACGTTATTTCAATGTTGATCATAGCCAGCACTTTCAATGTATATTTCAATATCTGACATCAATGTTGAACCTTCAGCCTGACAATATCTCAATGTTGATTCAATCACATTTTGCTATCTGGGATAAAACATACATTAATGTTTTTTGGTTCAAACAAATAGGGGAAATTCTGTACTTAAATGAGTAAAAGCGATTCCTGGTAATCAGCCTGTAGGGGAGCACTCAGGAAGACAGTTGCTGTATTGATTTCACTGAAGTGGCGTCTTCCTCTTTTCAGAGGTGTAACATTGCCATGGTAACCACAGGTATCAACAAATTAAACTGGACGGAATCTTAAAGGGTTATAAATGTAAAGACATCGAAGAGTTACCAAAGAGTTCAGTGAGGCTGAGGAGGCTGAAGAGGATGAGGAGCCTCAGTGTCCTCCAGTTCTTCATCTGAGCCGCCATCACACTGCAACATATTACAATAAATTCATAAATAACACCTTTATGATGAATTTATTTGCCCTGACTGATTTCTGATGATGATGAATTTGTTTAATGTATTATGTGCTTTATGAGTGAATGTTTTTACTTTTTCTGTTTCTAGAAAAAGAAAGAAGTCCTTTTCCCACTTTTACAACTACAATACTCATCCCGCTACTTCATATGAGTTAAAACCAGATATTCATTTTATTATTATTTATCAGTTTATTTGTGTTATTGTTAGTTTACTTTCACTCACACACACTGTTTTCAGACAGTTCATGTGTCATTCAGTGCTGCACATCTCCACCACCTGCTGCTGTCTCTCCTCTATAGATTACAGATTGTAAAATGAGGTGGCTGACTCCAAAGTGTATATATATTATGGTGAGTGGGACTTAAGTTAGTTTTTTTCTGATATCTGAGTTAAAGTGAGTGAGTTCATTATATTGTGCTGCATTGCTTCAGTGGTATAGCATGCAGAATAGATTGTTGAGGAAATCAGGAAGAAAACATTCATGTCCACATGTTGGAGGAAGTAAAACAAAAAGCAGTAATGAGATGGGCTGTGATTACCAATGGAAACAGAGGTTGCTATATGACAAGAGCAAGTTGCATACAACACATAAAGGGAGAAAACCAGTAACCAGGGCTGGTTAGCCTGTCTGCAATACTGAACCATTCATCAATAATAGCCTAACTTTATGACCCAAGATGATGAAGATACAGAAATATAAAAAAGCGAGTTATTCTTTTTTTTTTAAAAAAAACAAAAAACTAAAACTAAAACATCAACAACAAGACCAAACTCCATTTAAAAATCTGGCATTTTAATACTAACATGCTTATGGACAATTACATCTGCTTCCTAAAGTTAAGAGCTTCTCAAATGCAAGGGAGAAACAGCATATAGGCAAAATTAAAGACCCCCCCACCCCCCGCCAAATTTCACAAATCATGTTTTCAGGGGAGCTCAGGTCTCATTACGAGGAGCCCAACTGACTGATTTGCGAGAACAACCCTCCTAAAGGAAAGTGAAAGCGTGTGGGGGATCAGACCACCGTCCCAACTGCCCCACAACCATAATCATATAATAAACCAACAGGTCGTTCCAGCCGTTAGGAAGTACATCAACTCTCTCTCTCTCTCTCGAACCCTTCTCCGCATTCCTCCTCCACTCTTCCTCCAATTTCTTATTTGATCATATTTTTATTTGCTCACCCGAAGTTCTTGCGTCGTTTCCAGCCAACGTCAAAAGTGAAAGTAACGCTTCACAAAAGTTTTTCCTTTTTTTTTTTTTTATTTAAATTGTGCGTAAAAAGCGTGGGACACCTTTGGAAGCCCATTTCTGCCAATGTGGCAGAAAAAAAGGATTCTTTAAGTCAGTATAATGAGAAACTTTCTCTCAATAATATGATATAAGTCAAATATTGAGAAAGTGACTCATTATTTTGACGCCTGGTTAATTAGCAAATTACTCATGTTTTTAATTACTTTGTAATTTTGAAGCCCAATGTTCCAACTGAAAGAGAGTTCAAACAGAAACCATCATATGAGAATCTTTATTTACGTTCTGTTATTCTGGGAAGACCTGGATGAGACAGTACAAGCCATCAAAAAAAAACCATCAATGTGGAGCTCACCTGGATATGAAACCATGAATATGTTAGTATTTGTCATAGCTTTCAAGGTGCATACAGCTCTGATCTCCATCATCATCATCATCAGCAGCAGCAGCAGCAGGTAAGAGGTTTTTCTGAGTCAGTTTCATCTTTTAAATCACATTATGTCTTCTAGCACTCTGTTTAATGTCTCATATTTGATTAGTATTATTGTTCGTATCATATGTTAGCAATGGCTATTTTATTCTTTAACTTGTATATTTTCATGTTTAAATGATTTGCCTCCTGAAATGTTTTAATCCCATGTAAGGCACTAACTTTATCATTATATAAGGAAATATACTTACACATACTGTTGATACTGTTGCTTCTCTGTGATCAGCTTTTCACTATAAAAACTACAAAGTGTCAGCAGATGATAGAACACACACTACAACAGAGACCTGAATCTCCAGGGACATCATACGTCCTTCATGTCCTTGCAGTGTTTTCTCACTCTATTAAACACATACAGCAGCTCCCTTTCCTTAAATCTGTTTAAGTGTTGTCAAATGTTCATGTCTATTGTATGAAACAGAATACACCACAGAAAACCACACGTGATCTCAGTTGGCAGAACAGGTTATTGACTCTCTCTGTACAGGGCTGAAACTGGGAGGAATATTCAACTCCAATCTGACTCTGAATCAAACAGTTAATGAAACTTTCACAAAATATTTGCAGTGCTCCTTTAATTAACAGTATTTCAGACTATAGTGCAAAGCAAAACAGTAAATACAATGTGACCAATGCCAGATGAAGGAAGCTGACTGAAATCTCAAACTCATTCAGTGTGAAGCTTTCAGTGTTTGGGAACCTAACAGGAACGTACAGTCACTTAAAGAAAGATCTTATATCATTTAAAATGATTGTAGACTATGGATTTAAACATGAACAATAGAGGTACTCTATCAGAACTGTTGCTCAAAGGGATCATGGCAGTTCATGTAAATGTGATCAGGTATTCTGGGTATGCCTGGATGTCACTGAAGATGATGAACATGGTTGGATTGCCGGTGTTATCAACCACACTGTCATACAGGTCTGAAGCACTCCCAGAGCCCTTGGCAGGAGGGACGATCATACCACGGCTTCCCTGGGTGAAGTCTCCGACCAGGACCCTCGCAAGGTACATGCGCTTGTGCCCTCTGACATCAGGCTTGGCGTAGCCCTGCGCTGAGTAGGCGGGATCCACAGCAAAGTAAGAGCCATTGCCGTACGCTGCACCTACTGAAGAAAAAAATAATTACAGTTAAATGTTCAGACAGACAACAGCAGAGTGAAAACGCAGCCTGTTGCTGGTAGACACGAGGCAAGAAAACTACATACTGCTCACAGACGTTAATACTACTTGTGAGCAGTGTATTAAGAGAGAAGAGAAAAAAATGTATTAACACACCACCACTGCAACGTGGCGCATCATAAGGGCGTCATTGTTGCTTCTAGCACAGAAAGGACGTGTATCCTCCCAGAGCTGGTCAGGCTTGTGCCCAATGTTGTTACACATTTACAACAGCAGGTGGCAGTGTTGTCCCATTTATCAGGATGTAACATGAATCTTTTCACTGTTCACTTTTTTCATACTAAATTTGATCACACTATACCAAGGCTGCCCGAAGTCAGGCCAATACAATAGGTGGCCTGTGACCCACCATTATGTTTCAGTTTTGGCACACCGGCACTAATAAAATGTCAGCCATAAGACATTAACCTTAAATCATGTGTTTTATTATTTTTAACTCACCGAAGAGCCAATCTCCAGAGCTACGGCTCTTTTTTGCCATTGTTTTTATAATAATGGCATTGTGGGTCGTATAGCTCAGGATATTTCTCAGTCTTAACAACTAATCTCTCCTCATCTGTTGTTGTACACACAAGCGATAGCAAGTGGAGAGTAGAGCTGTCACAAAAGCAGAGAAGAGGCCAGAATGTACAAGCAGGGAGAGTTTTTTCAGGCATGGTGACGCTCGAAATACGACAGTGGCGTGACGTGACAGAGGTCAGCGCGTCTATGTGGGGGTTAAAAATAGAAAATAATAGACGCACTGTCCCATGCAGTCATAACTAGTGTTTAATCCCACACTGGTAAATATTCGTGTTCTTTTAAGAGTGCGTGGTTACCTTGTGTTCCTGCGTAACTGCGGTTGAAGCCTTGTTTGTTGATGAGGTCAATGGATTTGGCAGGGGTGCCGTGGAAGAGACGCTTTTCGTTGTTTGTGTGTTTGTTCTTCACCTCCAGCTGTTTCTTCAGCAGCTGGTAGCTCTGCCACAAAGTCGTATTTTGGACCCGTTCAATCTGCCAACACAGTTAAAACACACTCAAACTCAAACCGATCTTGTGGCTAAACGCCAACTTCTGATTATGAGAGATTAAACGTACACTGATGATGTTTGCAGAAAGGCCGGTCTTTTGAAGTTCTGTCTCCACATCGTTGTATTCTTTGGATCTCGCAGCCAAAGGAAACAGTTTGAGGATGTCGCCTTTCATGTCATCCCAATGTGACGGCAGAGCGGTATCTTCTGCATAGAGAATGATTGTTTTAGAGGTAAGGTACAGTTTTCCAACCTGGATCTTATTTTATACTTTTGGCCATAATTCATTCATATTAGTGTTTACACTTTGGTTTTCATGTCTTGCAAAAATGAAATATCCCATCTGTAATGACTCCCTCCATGATTTTGTGGGTTTTTTGAAGGATTGTTGCCGCCTAAAATACCTGATTTCACAGCAATGTCAATTCAGTTTTATTTGTATAGCACCAAGTTATAACAAAAGGTATACTTTTCAAACAGAGTAGGTCCTTATAAAATGATTTGATTTACAGAGACCCAACAGTTCCCACCATGAGCAAGCACTTGGTGACAGCAGCAAAGGAAAACTCTCTTAAGAGGCAGAAACCTTGGACAGACTGCATCAAGTCAAAAATATATGTTTTTTTTAAAGTTTTATTTCTAGAAAAATGCATTTAGTGTTTGGTGATGATTTAAATGTAGACTTAGAATATAATCAGATTATATTCTAAGTGCACAAAGAAATAAGATTTAAATTCTTTTAACCAACTCCAAAAAATAAGCCCAAAAGAACCATTCAGTCAGTTGAACTAAAACATTGGGGGATTGTATGGACTGGTCACTACTCAACATAAGAACATACTTTCATTTAGACATGTTGAATGATAACTAAACACAATCACTCACCTTTCAAGTCTTTTCTCAGAAGCTCCACCTGTTTACGCCCATTCACTGACACTGCTTTCCTCAGCATTGCGTCTGCATCGTATCTTTCATTGCTGATACTGATCGTCACCATTTGTTTTCTCTCCAGAGCCTCCTCCAGGCTGAGGTTGGTGTACATGTCAAAGGGCACTATCACTCCACTGTGGATCTGGAACTGCCATTCCACCAGTCCACTCACCAGCAAGGCCTTGCTCCTCTGGTGCTCCATCCTCTCCACCTTTCGGATGATGTCCCTGATGGTCAGCAACAGAAACATTTAAAGGAATACGCTTTAACATTTGTTTATCTGGACTCAAGCTTTAATGCACCATGAATTAATTTGCTGACCTGACCGCAGACTCAGCGGTGAAGACGTCCCTGGTCAGACCCTCTATGTGGATTTTGGGTTCCTGTCCCCCCTGCCCTTTGTCCAGACGGATGCTAACGGTCAGCTTCCTCTGCAGGTCCCTCAGTTGGTCCACGTCAGCCTGTGACAGCTGTGTGATATACTGGTCTGTGATGGTTTTCTCCGCCTGCTCAGCCACAATCAGCTCCTTGATCCTGTTCTTTGCCTGACTCACAGCCTGCGGGGGGGGGGGACATTTGAAGATTCAGATTTAACCCTTTGAACTGTATAAACTCGTCATAAATTGTTTGTTTCGACCTGATGAATATGACCTGTCCATGAGGAGGTGAGCCTCCGTTAATTAGAATATTTGCATTATTAACACCCACAAACTCTACATACTGTATGTCTTTCTGTTCTGCTCAGTTTTATTCATAAAAACTTCATCCATCAGTAAAAACAAGAATTTTACTGACACCAGCAAATGGAAAAACAAGATAGAGGGCTGAAAAAGCAGGACAGATATTTGTTACAAATAGTACTAGCAGGTAGAAAAGACTGAAAAAAACGGAATGGATGGACAGAAATAATTCAGGAAATTTATGTTATGTTAGTTGGAACAACTGACTTTTTCCCTGAGACCTGCCACCAAAAAAATTTATAAATACTGGAAATCTTATTTGAATCTTAAGTGATTGTGTTACTTTATATTTATTTGGAGAACTTTGTGTTATTATTACTGTACTAAGACCAACACAATAACCTTTGGTTATGAATGAGTAAAAGACCTTAGACCCCCTTAAAAACACCTCGGCTTTGCATGAGCTAAAACCACAGATCATAAGAACCTTGATGATTTCAACTGACAATGATGAGCTAAAGGACTCGCTGACATTTAAATAGTCTCGTTTTTATTTTATTTCTATATAATGTCAAACATTTCATCTTACCGTTGTTCATTTTTGTCAAAAATAAATAAATAAACAAAAATAAAGTTAAGGAAAAACAAATCTTATTAATTACTGATATTTGGAGGAGTTGGGAGGCAGATTTCTGAACTCTGGACTGAGCTGCATTATCTGTTTCCAACTACTTTCAGCCTTTATGCTAAGCTAGGCTAACCACTTTCTTCATCAGGACTGTACTCAACACAATTTCTCAAAATTTTGAAATATTTCTTGAAATGATCTTAATTCAGAATTGGGAGGTAAAGCAGACAATGTTGAACATTCCTGCAAATCACATTCAAATATAACTCAGCTCAATGAAATGCTGATCAGTGCTGACTCACATCCAGAAAGCTTGGATCCTTTTAAAGTAAAGAGGTAAAATATAAAGTTAATAAATTCACCTTCTCGTTGTCAGCACACAGCTGAAACACTGTGGGCTCAAACTCCTCCTTCTCCAGAACCAATCCACTAGTGCTGGGCCGCTCCTCCCCAAAGCCAAATAATGAAGTAATAGAGCCTGAAACAACATCAAGTGTGAGTTTGTGCTTTAGTGGAACATTTTATTGTACCACACATTCATTCACAGGAACATGTAAGAAAAATATAAATAAGATATTAACCTCATTCAAGATGAGCAGGAAGAAAGAATAAAAATAACAGCAGGTGGCGTTTTCAACTAAAGTAATTGTTAACATACTTTTGATCTTGGTGAGGATGCTCTTCTCCTCCACCTCCTCTCCCTCTTTCTTCTTCATGCTCTTGTGAAACTCCGTCATCATGACCGCCTGGAAGATCAGGATCTTCACGCTGCAAACAAACTTCGGATGCTTCTTCCTCACAAACTCCACCACCGCGTCCACCATGGCGTCCGCCACCGCCGACGGGCTGGCCCCTCCCAGACCTAACAGGCAGACAAGGATGAGGATGATGATGATGATGATGATGATGATGATGATGATGATGCAGTGAAGATGGAACAATTGATTGGTAGGGTCTGTGAAACCTGGTGGTACACTACAGACAGTCTAACAGTCTAAAGTTCTTGTGGCGCCCCCTGCAGGCTGCAGTGTTCATTACAGCCACAATATGAAAGTAAAGCATACCCTGCTTTATGGTCTGTTTTACTCTAAATGGGACCATCATTTACTGAATGAACATCATGCTGTATGGACGAAGGCTGAAACTAGAGACTGAGACTATAAACTCATTAGGAAACGGTTTACTGAGATAATAAATCATGTCAGAAGTCTGCTTTTTTCTATTATACTGCAAGTATTTATAATGCAGCCAATGGAGCTGCCCCCTGCTGGCCATTACATAGAATAGAAGTTTAAGACACTTCACTTCACAGACCAGGAAGCTCTGTCCATTAATTGCATCGCAATGTTTTAGAAAAGCTGGTGTAAAATCAGGTATCTTAGGCCGTAACAATCCCAAACAAAGCCTGTGAAATCCTGGAGGGACTGCTGTTGGTTTGAATCTATTTTCTACATAATTTATCAAGAAACACAATGTGTGTTATCATAATTATGCTGACGACATGCAATTATATATTTCCCTGTCCCTTGACGTGAACAATCAGAATGCATCAAGGATATTGAGAACTGGATGTCCATTCATTTTCTACAGTTTAACAGCGACAAGATGGAAATCCTGTTTATATATATAGGTTAAAGTCAACAGACAGGAAATCTCTCTATTCTCACACAGGTCGGAAACAGTGAAATGACTAAATGAACAAATAAATAAAACACAAAGATGAATAAGGAAATGTTTGAGAGAAATCAGACTTTAAACCTCATTTAAGTTCTCTTAAATAATTCAGGTGTCAGGTTCAAATAACAGTGTATACAGTATATATAGTTTCTGTCTGCACAGACCTGTTCCCAGGGCGGGGAAGGCGACGGAGTTGAACTTATTCTCCTCGCATAACTTCAGCACTGAGTAAACAATGTCCTTGATCTTTGTGGGGTCGTTCTGGCCGGCGACGTGGATGATCCGTCTGCTGGGCAGGGAACCAGCTGAGGTCATGATCATCGGACGAGGCTGGTAACCCGGAGAATTCACTACAGAGAGCAACACATAAATAACTGATATAGGAAGTCACATTTTACAATACAGATACAGTGCGGCTGACGATTAACAGAGACTCTAAACCTTTATAAACCTCAAGTTAGAGTGTTTGCAATATCTGTTAAAGAAGCAACAATCATCTCTGTGAGTTGTAATGTGACCAGTGTTCATTACTAGTAATAATATTACAGTAATAATATTACTTTCTCCAGTTACTAGTAGTGTAACGACTGAACGTACCGATCTGTGAGCACTCCATCTGAACTCCTGCTCCAGCGCTGTCTAAGATCGCTTTGGAAACTCCTGAGAAATAAAAGGAGAGCAACAGGTCCAATAAGTCAGAAGGGACATTGAACAACTGTATTATGATAGACAGACTAACAGACGGATAGTCACCTGATCGAAGGCTAAAATCCTGGTTGGAGGAGTTGATGATGACATCACAGGCCTCCTTGGTGATGTCTCCAGACAACACCTCGAGGGTGAGGCGGCCCATCTGCATCCGATACACACCGAGGGAGGGGGACGACACCTGACTGAAGGAGGCTGAAACACACACACACACACACACACACACACACACACACACACACACACACACACACACACACACACACACACACGATGTGTGATGAGGTATTATGTTGATTACAAACTTTCTAATTCAGATGCAGATGCTTTAAATCATTTTAACCAACTGGTGATTGTTAAACTCTGACACAGCAGAGGACAGAAGTAAGTAAATGAAACCAGTAAGCTGTGAGCTGTACTGCCCTCCAGAGGCTAATCGCAGCAACTACACTAACAACGAAACAGAGAAGAATTGCTACAAAAGTGTTTTAGGTTGAACAGCTATTCACAACCAGTTATATGACATTTGACCCATAAACGGATATATAGGTAGCACAAAGACAGAGTGCATCAACTACAGTCTGACTGTCTTCTTCCTGACAACATCTAATTTATTACATTAAATCTGTATTTCTTATTGTTTCATGTGTAAACAGTTGAAACAGATGAATAATTAAGAAATTTAAGTATTATTTTGTGAGGATTGCTTGACTTTTATTTTAATTGTAAAATGTGTATAAACCTGCTTTTAGAAAGAGTATACATATCAAATTTAGGTTAATCAACATTAGAATGGTTGCAATTCTTGCTGTATAGATTACAAATGGGAGTTATATAAATAACAATTGTGTATCTGATAATGGCTCTACTATCTGTTCCCTGTAACCACAAACATATCTGAGAGAGTGAGAGAAGTGGGAGCTGTCAGTCTGTAAACTAATGTCAGTGTACTCTCAGGTCCTGTCAGGTCCTAGCACAGTAATATGAACTATTATCTCCATCTGCTACAATCAGCTCCCATGTGTTCCCAGTGGAGAACATGAAGATTCCCTTTGTTTTAATGTCCACATTGTCCTGAAATTGTCCAGAGTTCAGGATTTACAGACAGTGAAGCCGCAGTAACTGCAGCCGAAGCTCTGAGAAACTGAGGGAGAGCACAGTGACTGCACACTGGACTTAGAGCTGTCCACGTGTGATCAGATCACCCAGGAGTTAATGAAGGTTTCAATGAAAGGTGTTGGAGTTTCTTACCTGAGGACTGCTGTGATTGGCTGAGTGACTGTCCAACTGGTGACTCATTAAACTCTCGTGCTTCATGCTGGATGTTCCTTTGACCAGTCTGACCTTTGAACTCCCTGGTGAAACACTGACAAACAATACATTGGAATTTAATGTTATTTTTCTGGCAGTACACGTTGTGTTTTTCATAAGCGTCTCAACTACCGACAGCTCGGTGTGACACTGCAGTGTGTTGTGCTAGCAGTGGCTAACGTAGCCTGCAGCAGAGATGAGGAGCAGCTACAGAGATCTCACTTCTTTCTAACTTCACACCAACAGATTTTATTCATTCCTTATTCTGAAAAATAATATTAGAGCTGTTTACATGACTAATAATAGTTATAGTCATAATAATGATCTTTATCTATAGAGCACTTTTAAAACAGACGCTAGAGGTAACCTCTCTCACGAAAACTCACATCCACAGTTTGGCTGTCAGTCGGGTGAACGACAATGGCAACCTCTCTCAGGTGGCGAGGAGTTCTGGTGCGGCTGAATGAGTGGATCTCCCTCAGCAGGACTCTAGACACCACGTCTCTAGGGAAGCTCAGGTTGCCCGTACCGAGGGCCGGGAAGGACAGTGACGTCATGTTTAACTTCTCAGCCTCCTCCAGACAATATCTGATGATGGATATTAACTCCTGAGAAAGAAAGACAACAAACAAGACGAGTAAACAAGCTGCTGACCAGTAGACAGTCTGGGCTTATGGGAAATGGTGTTCATTTAAGGCTACTAAAACCTGAAATATTGAATAAACAATATTAGATTAGACTCTCTGTTAGACTACAGATGCAGGTGAGTATATGATGAGGTTTGTCCCACTACTGTAGTTACTTCACATAAGTTTCTTTGGACTGTGTAACCCGAACTAAAAAGTCATTATCACAAAAGTCTCACCTCCTCTGCTTTGCCCCTTCCGTTGTCCCAATGAGGGCAAACAGCATGAAAGATCTTCCGACACTTGAGGTTGAAGCCGTCGGTGACGATGACATCGCCGTACCGCAGCGTGGCCACCCCGGCTTCATACCGAACAGACGCCTGCAGGCTGGGCCCAGCCGCCGCCAGGATCGCATTGGAGACCGCGCCTTGGCTCAGATTCATGTCCTCTGCGATGGTGTTGACGATGACGTCAATCTGTGGAGCAAAGTCATAGCATCGTACACTTTCGGATGGAATTTAAGACAACTGATTATTCTTTTAATGTCTCAAGTTCAAATATATGCTGCTTACAGCTTCAGAATAACTGAAGAAGGTTGCTTTTATTGTTGACTGATTGAGTCTGCGCAGGGAGAAAAGCAATATAAAATAATGTGATTGTATGACTGACTGTCTTGGTACTTGGTCACACACACTGTTTGTCAATAATATTTAAATCTCTTAATTATGCTTGTGTTACCGTGTACGCAAATCAAGTCATGAACAACTTCTTCTAAATTACAGTAAGAAAAGCAAGGACCCAACTGTATTTGGAGTATGTGGTGCTCTCATATGTGACAAACAATGATGTAAAAGAAGGGGAGATACAGGCAGTGTATTATAAACCTTATTCAAAATATTCATTTCAAAAGCACCACAGGGTGAGTACTCACAGTCTGGTCCTGAATGTTTCCCTTCCAGAGAACAATCTTCAGACCCTCCGCTGTGGTCTGCTGCATCCTCCCCGGCCTACAGCCAATCAAAGAGCAGGACTGATGTTATCACAGTGAGTTTGGTCACCATTACTGCGTCCAGTTTGTTTTGTTTTTGTTAAAAAGACAAAAGTTGGTGAAAAGGTTAGCTCCTAGAAGAGACTCCCTAAGCCATGATTACTCTGAATCAGGGCGGAAAGTAGATTGAAGTTCTCGTCAGTACTACTAAACCTTCATATTGTTCTCCTCTCATACATCCCTGACACATTTCATTTTTTAATAACCCATGAAAGTTGCATAGCTTGTCTGACCTGCTCTCCGAGTAGTTGGAATAAAACTTAAAGATCACAACTTATTTGGTCCGACATTTTACTTTGGAAATTTGTTCAAGAAAAAAATCTGTCTGCCAAAACCTTGCAGCACTGATATCAGACAGACAGCCACAGCAGTTGACTTCAGTCAGCAGTAATTGATTAAACAGTTTTTGAGGGTAGCAATGGGCAGATTGTGGTTATAGCCACAGAATAAATAATTACAAGATTCTGATCAATGGAGGGTGAACAGCCGTCCTCCTGATAAAATACAGAGCTTCATCAGAGCTGTCTAAAAATGTTATTTCAGCAGCAAGACCCGATCCGTGCAGTTCTCTTCAGCGTGGATTAAAAACAGGACTGCACACACTGGAGAACAGTTGTTATATTGACCTAATGTTAGAACATGTGTCTTGTTGATGGAAATGTGATTGTGACGGGTCACTGTTGGCAGCTGCTGTCCCCTCTCGTGAGGCGGCACTGAATCTTGAAGTGGTACGGAGTACCGGACTGTACCGGCCTACTTTCAGCCCTGCTTTTAATACTTTTGCATGACTTCTGAACTCACAATCACATGTACAGTTGTATGTGAAAGTTTGGGCACCCATTGACCAAGATCACATTTTGGTGATTATTTCATTGCAAAGATATAAACAGCCTCTGAAGGGTATGGAACATAAAACACAATGTTTGCAGCAAACAGCCTTGCATCGTTACATTTTATATCATAAACTGAACAAAAATAAAAAAATAATTGTGGCACATGCAAATGTTTGGGCACCCTCCACTGTCAGTAAGCCCTCCCGGCAGATATCACAGCTCTCAAACCCTTTCTGTAGCAGCCAGAAGTCTATCAGTTCTTGTATTTGGGATTTTTTCCCCTTTCTTTCTGCAAAAGGGATCTAGTTCTGTTATATCCTTGCATGCACAGCTCTTTTAAGATTCTTTTTACGAAGTCTCAGACCTTCATCAGCTTGTGCGGCCTGAGATATGTCAACAATTGTGCTTTATGTTCCATGCCCTCCACAGGGTGTGTTTATGTCTTTTCAATGAAAAAAAAAAAACCCAAAATGTGTTATTTGTCAAGAGGTGCCCAAACTTTTATTTGTTTGTAGGATTTGCATTGTTTTTGGACTGCTCCTGACCAAGGACAGACCGGGTATTAATAATATCTGGGGATCCAATAATGTGGTTTTAAATACTAATGAAGAAGACAGAAGAAACAGACAACAGATGAGAAAAAGAAGAGAAGAAGATGAAGACGCGTACCCTCCATGCTCTCCATGCCTGGTGTGTCCCCTGGGGCTCTGACCTCCCTGCTTCCCTCCAGGAAATCCAGCTCCTGTCCCCTCAGCTCCTCGTCCACCTCGTCCTCCTCCTCCTCCTCGTCCACCTCCTCCTCCTCCTCCTGCACGTCGTCCTCCTCCTCCTCCTCCTCCTCTGTTACCACCCCGACGGCCCCTGGCTGTCTGGCTCTGATCTCGACCACGACCCCGCCAAAATCCGCTGGGAAGTGAATAATACAGTGAATACACAGATGAAAATCCCAACAACAGCAAGTCTGTCTCATTTATGAGTTGAACGCTGTTTATTGATCAGGTGTAGAAGCACTGAGTGTGTATTAGCGAGTGTGGCTCTAGTATTGGCAATGTCAGTAGGTTCAACACCTCGGCCCTGAGAAAATATTCCTATTGGATGTGTCTGAGTTGTTCGACAGCTTATCTTTTTTCTTTTGATAGAACTAAGCTAGCTGGACCCATCTCAACATTTCAGGACTTTTCATTTATAAATCTTGTTTGTTTTATTTGTACAAAATAGTGATAACAACAGTGTTACTTTACAGGCAATATGTGTCTGACTATTTCTTGCCTGAAAGCAGTAACATTAGCTTCCTGCTGGTTGCCTGCCAACTGATCAGAGCCAAGAAATAGCACACAACCCCCCACAATTGGTACTTTACTAACTTTAACTTTAACGCTGTAGCTTTATATTTATTCTTTAGATATGAGGCTTGTATCAATGTCCTCATTTTAGTTATGGCCGAAAACAGAACAAGTACATCTAACAGAATGTTTCTCCAATCCTTGTAGTGTGTTCTCATCCACAGTAAAAATATGTTATAGTAACAAATGTTCCTTGAATTTACCCTGAAGCCCCAAGGCCTATTCCTTCCTGCTGTGGTATTGTCATAGTAGGTCCGCAGTCCATGAACTCTCTGTTGACTGCAGTGGCCAGGACTCTCACTGTGTTATCATTATTGTCCACCAGATGAATCTCAGTCAACGATCTTGGACTTCCTGGACTGTCGCAGTACTCCCGCACTGCCTGAGCTATGGTTTCAGCACAGAGGTTAACAGGAAAACCAAACACACCTGAGCTGATCGCTGGCAGTGCAATGGTGGAACAATTCACCTTCTCAGCTTGTCTCAGACTTTCGTTAACGGCAAGCTTCAGGCGCAACACTGATGTCTTCTTGTCAAAGTCAGAAAACCGTGGGCCGACTGCATGGACAACGTATTTGCAAGGCAGGTTACATCCACCTGTTACGATGGCCTCACCCGGGCGTAGCTTTCCAAATCTGGCAGTATAGTCATTGCTGATTTTCTGCAGCTCTGGTCCTGCAGCCTTGAGCAGTGCCAAAGCCAGTCCACCAATATGCTGTAAATCTTCATTAGCTGCATTGACCACCGCATTAACATTAAAGCTACAGATGTCTGCCTTGCTTACCGACACCAGAACTCCACTGGTGGTCTGCACTTTGCAATAACAAAGGCCATTTTCGTCCTCATAGTTCTCTTCCTCCTCTTCCTCTTGATACTCTGGACGAAGCATCACCACACAGCTCAACTCCGACATTATTGTTGACAGAAACAGGCTTCCCTGAGACTGGAAGTACTTCTTAGCTCCGGGTTTGTCTACAATGAAGTTGTCAGTGAAGAGAGCACTAGTCAGTTTCTGAAAGCAGGATTTAGCTTTCTGGACGTGAAGACGAGCTCCAGCGATGATGATTTTTGGTCTCTGTTCATCAAAATGGACGCTCACATCATTATCTTTGGCAATACTGGAGTATTCCTGTGATTTTTTCTTGTCAATGAACTGAACAACGGCATAGGACTCAACACGAATGGTTTCTTGAACTTGCGAGTAGTTCCTAATAAAATCTGTCAGACTGCAGCTGACCTCTTTCACTGGATCCTGGAAGCCAGACACTGTTATTTTGTCTCTTCTCTCTGGGTGGATCTGAATGGCCACTGTTTTCTTCTTTATGGAATTGTAGGTGTCCAACAGCTGTTGGTTGAGGCCCACCCAGTTGGCAAGTTTCAGAACTTCAGGGTCTTCTACATCCAGAGTCTGCACAGCAAAAGCCATTTTCATCCTGCTTTCTGCATCAGCAAGGACACTATCAGAACTCCCCAACAGCAAAACTCCTTTGCTCTCAATGCTGTAGATGGCGCAGACACCTCGGGATGTGAACAGGTGCTGTGACATCTCCATGGGATCCACTGACTTGAGAAAGTCTAACAGACCTGGAGGGACACTCATCTGTTTTTTACTCATACCCACATTCTTCTCCAAGATCCATGCCTTGGTCTGGAAAACCTCTGCAGGGAGTCCTGCAATGGTTAACTTCTGGGTGCCTTCATCGTAAGAAAGATTCATGTCAGGGGAAATGTCCAGTGCAGCTTTCTTCAACCCTTCCTGCTTCAGGATGGCGAACATTGCAGGGGCCAAATTCATTACTTCAGAGACACCATTTGTTTGTCGTTCAATCTGATTCATGGCTTTGAGAACGATATTCTCCACAGGAGCCCTGATTTGTTTAATATCGTCAGCTTGTCCAGCCACAGTCAAAATCCCCCTGGATGTATCCATCACCAGGACGGCGTCTTCCCTGACAACTGAACGGAGCTCTTTCTCTGCAGCTTTCCACGCAGGTGCATTCACTGGACATTCAAAGGCCGTGTACTGAGACATTTGCTGACGGAAGGCCTCTTGAGCGGTACTCATCCACATATCTACTTGCTTGGCAGTCAGATCTTTCTGCCTCAAAAAGCTTGGGAGCGGGCTGAGTTTCACATCAGGGCTATCCAAGTTCACACTGCAGAAGTAGGGACGCATCTGATCATTGATGCTTTTTAACAGTTTCTTCATCAGGAGGAATTTCCAGACTACATGGTGAACTTTCTCTGTGAAGGGCTCGGGCATCTTCCATGTTGGTCGTTCTTTACCGTACAGGGCGGTGCCCAGGGACTTGTAGTACGGATACACCTTAACAGGAATGGACCGCATCATATAGTCTTCTTTCATGCAAATGCTTTTCACCACTGCAGCAACACAGGGAACAAAAACAGAAAGCTCAGGTAAGTGGTTGTTCTATTTGTACAAGACATTTAAATAATCATTTATTTATTTTAAAATTTCCATGATACAAAAGGCAGAAAGCTGTTTGCTTCCTCTTATTTATGTTTCCTGTGAAAACAGGCAGCTAGGGAATATTATATTATATATATATATATATATATAATATAACATATTGTGAATATTGATCAGCATTTACAGCAGCCAATTATTAGCGGTTAGCTACTTTAGTTAGTAGTTAAAGCTATCTGTCCATCAAGAAATTCTCTAATCACAGAAAATTGAAGATGACCAGCTGAAGGACATCAGAGGGAAAACCAAAAAATATTTTCTTCAGGAAATCCAGTTTCACCCAAATTACTGAATAAAGTTATAAAGTGCAAGAACTACCATTAAGAATCCCTGAAAATACCAAAAAGATTACTTTCTGGCCAACTTTTATTGGAATATAGGTGACTCATAGAGCAAGACATACTGTATATGAAACTTTAAATATATATCAAATGATCCATTATGACTATATGGGGAGATTAATTATCCAGATCATATGGTATGCTATATGACATTTGTAAGTCCATTCAGAATTTCAGGGGCTTTTTGTGTGATAGTTGCGGCCTGAAATGCCTGATATCACAGAAGCTTTTCGAAAAACCTGCGATACATGTTACTATCTTTTTATTTTTATTATTGTTATAAAGAATACAATTGCACTGTTTGGAGGGTTAATGTGAGACATTTGCGTGGCACATGTCTGCAACTATAAACAATGTTTTGCACAAGGAACTACAATGATTGGTCAAATTTGCGGAAAAGTTGGGTTTATTGGACAAAACTGCATGTTTACGCAGAATTCAGGGGGCTGCGACATTGCAACTTCCTGTAGGGATTGCTAAGTAGTTTCAAAGAAATTAAATCTTACTGCTACAGCATGCAGGCATGCCAGTTCCCCATGCACAGTGTTCTTAGCTTGGTGTGGAAGAACATGACTGGCCTGCACAGAGCCCTAACCTCAACCTCATCCAACACCGACACAATTGGGATGAACGAGAACAGTTAATGTCAGCCAGACCTTATTATTCAACATCAATGACTGACCTCATTAATACTCACTAATACTAATACTGGACAGAACAAAATAACTGCAGCCAGTTTTAAAGAGGGGGTTCAGGGTGGAAATAAGCCTGAAACCAGAAGAGTAAGGGCTGTTGTAGCAACAGTTTAATACCTATAGATTTGGGATCACGTGAAATGTAGGCAAAATGTTCAGGTGTCAAACAAGAAACAACAAGAAAATACTCCACATACTTTGGTATGTAATTTGTTTGGTCTTAAAGATGTCTCTGTGTCCAGTCTAGTTTAATTAGACTTGACTAAGCCTAGACATTCTAAAATTAGAAGACACTGTAATAAATACGAGTGGGTAGAACATCAGTAGTAAAGCTAAATGAAAAACCTTTGGGGTCACTGAAAGTGACAATGGCAGCCTGTTCATCTGGGATCATGACGATACTGTCCGGAAAAGCCCAGTTCTTCTCAAAATACAACTCCAACATGTCTGGAAAGGAAACAGAAAAATAGTTTATTTGGTTGGAGAGCAGCAATTCCTTTTACCATCATTGGTAAGATGTTATTATCTTATTCCCAATAATCATCAAAAACTTTATTTTCTTGGACATTTCTATTGGTAATTTAAGCAAAATAATATATATATATATATAGACTATAGAAACAAAAGAGGCAAAGTCAAATATGAAGCTTTTGTAATTTTGGAGAGGACTGAGTGTGTTTGTATCTTATCATATCTATACATTCTGAACAAAGATCTGAAAACTATAAAATATTAAGAACAAAACAAGAAATCTCCAACAAATCTCTTTAAACACACAAATAAAGACATAAATGTTGTATATCTGAGTATCTTGTTAGCAGCTCCAGATTTAATGTGATCTACGCCCAGACTAGCTCATAGTAAACAGATATTTAACAGTTTGAGTACCTTTAAGCACATTCGGAGGAAGACTCTCCACTCTGACACTTGTTGCTGCCTCCAGCGGTCGAGCAGTGAGTCCGTATTTCTGCATCTTCTGACTGGACTGGCTCACAGTGAGGAACTTCTCCACATCTGTAAAACACTCCATATTACTCCTTTAAGAAAGGCTTTAAAACAGGCTCATAAGCTGATGAAAGAGAAGAGTTTTAGTACAAATGAGTTATAAATAGCAGCCTATAGCTACAAAATGGCTGTTTTCTTGTCTTTTCAGAGGGTCTCATTCATTCATGCAGATCTGCAAAATTATCACAACTTGTAGTTTCCTGATGCCTTAACCATTAAACACAGGTGACAGGTATGTTACAGTGATTTTAAATGTCTTTTAAACTCAAAAACAGTTTTCAAATATTGTTTATCACAAATTCTTCCAACAGTGGCATCTGTACTCTCCGTCATCTCATTTAAAACCCGTTAAATGACATCAAAAACCAACAATAGACAATGAAAACACCCCAAATAATATATTTTTTTTTACAAAAAACATTTTTAATAGATTGTAATTATAGCCTCGTGAAAATATATTTGATCAGAATATTTTTGTATTTTTAGTAAAAATGTAGTGATCTACTTTAATTCATGCTGACTCCTTGATCATTTAAAGGGTTCTATCATTTAGAGTCTTTTATTCTGATGACATCAGCAGGTTGCTACGTGTATTTCTGTTATGTAATCAATAATCAATTATTTATGACTATCTGGCATTGCTCAAATATACACAATATGTTCCATGCAGCATTTTCATTATCACTGTATCACCAACTCAGGTCTCCTCGACATTTTACCTTCAAGTCTCAAGTTAAGTTTCACAGCACACAGACTGCTCTCGTTTCAGTTTGTTCATATCTATTAACCTAACTATAACAAACAGGGCAAGACTCGGGATAACTGCTTGTTTTCTGCAGTCCTGTGTTGTTTCCTACCCGCAGGGCCGTTAAAGGTGATCACGGCTCTGTTGGTCTCCCAGATGATCTCCAGACTGTAGCCGCTCTCGTCCAAACCTGAGATGTTCTCCACCAGCATGGACAGCAAGTCTCTGGACGTGTCCATAACGTTGTCCAACACCACAGAGACGCTCTGAACAGACTCCGACTCTGAGAGGAGATGAATGAATTTAAGGCATGCAAAAACACGTGAACAGAGCCCTCCTGTAATTTTAGTGTACTATCTTTTTGTTTGAACAGTTTGTTTTTACCCTCTTTGTTCTCTGCAGAAGCTCCATTTCCAGGTTCATCTTCTGACTTTGGAGTCTTTGAATCTGTCGATGAATCTAAGAATCAAGTATGTAAGTATGTGTTTAGATCAAAGGTTTTCAGTAGGAACCAATGGGCTTGGAGTCTAGAGGCAAAGACAGGAAGGGGTTAAAAAAGGACACAGTGACCTTAAAATCCTAAACAGAGAAGAAACTGTTTTACCTGAGACATCATCGCTGCTCTTTGGACTCTGAGAAGAAAAAACAACAGATTTAAAACCCGGAATGAAATTATATCAATGTTAAAATCTGATTAAATTCTCCACAAGTTCATGAGCACAAGATACATCTGACTGACCAAGGAATAGCCACCACCTGGAGATACTGGTTCATACAGTGTTGGACCAACAGACAAACAAAGAGCAGTAAAGCTAGTGACCCAAACCCACCACGCCTTTTTAATTATTGAGCCTGACTATGGACACATAGTGCACATGGTTGTGCACTAAGGAGAATGGAGAACGATGCTACTGTGCAATACTTGCCATGATGTCATATTAGTTAATAAACAACTTTCAAACAAAATTCTACTGTTTGTCTACACTTGAACTGTTTATGAGGAGTGTAAAGATATATGGTGAGACAATTTATTCATGACACAAATATGTGAAGATTCAAAGCTGCTGCTGTAGCTACAATACATGAATCATTACGGTAGATACAGGGCCGTGGTCTTTGCTGTAGATACAGGGCAGAGGTCTATTTGATACATGCAGTAGTAAAAATAATATATTAATAGTATTAACTTTATTATTACATTATTATTTTTCTTTTTGATATCTCTTTCAGTTATTGAAATATAAATACTTGAATGTAATCTTATTAAATGTAAGATCTGTAAATCCGTATATGAATGTGTGTGAATGGGGTGAGGGTGGCATGTCGTGTACAGTGCATTGAGTGGTCGAAGGACTAGAAAGGCGCTATACAAGTACAGTCCATTTACCATAGCAGCAGAATTATATATTGAGGTTTAAGAGGCTAAAATATACAAAAAAACTCAGCAAGAGCCCTTAAAATCTTACGATTTTTTTATCCGTTATATAAATAAAAGCACACTTATACAAATAAATGAGTGACCATGATGAAACAGGATATCTGATCTGAAAATGCCAGCATGTTTGAAATATAACAGCCCAACCCAACACGGAACAGTTTTACAGCTGCTCGATGTGTAAATGTTTAACTTCGCTTTACAAAACTGGTGAATGTTTTGTAGCTTTACATTTAGGAAGCCAAGAGATGTTTATGATGAATCCTGGATATCGTGTGTTATTGTGCGACTCTGTGAGTCACCTTCATAAACTCCAACTGATGTTTAACTAAACTTTAGTTTACATTTTTAATGTTTTCAGAAATAACAAATCTGTTTGGGGAAATCTTTCTAAAATGATGCTCAAGACGTCTGAAATACTTTCATCTGATTGAATGTTGCATCCATAAAAAACATCCAATTAAGAGTTTGATTGTTTCACGTCAATCATTTAGCTTCAATCAAGAGATGAAACAATAAACACGATGTGGAACTTTAACTGTTCATTTAATGGAAGACCACGGAGGTTTTAGGGTAACGTTCAAGACTTTTAGAGGTTAACATGTTGCACCGCTGCTTAAAATAAGTACTTATTGTTTATCATGAATCTCAGCAAGCTGCTTTGCCAGTCAGTCAGTTTACTAATGAAACACCCAGACACACCCTGTCAGAGTCATAGAAAAACACAGCAACAGCGGAAGAACAGTGTTAAAGTCCAACTTCCTGCTGCCGTCACACATCCAGGAGCTTGTTTACATGAAGACTGCAGAGGAAGAGGACTCTAATGTTATAAAAGGAGCAGCTGACTGAGTCTAAACCAGTCATACAGACACAGTAAGTGTCCATGTTTAGGGACTGCCCTCCCCCTGACTTAGTCAAAAACTGCAACCAAAATCATTCAACAAACATAATAAAGTAGTGAAAATACAGCCACTCTCTAGCTTTCAATGAACAGTTTTACATTCACAAAATGAGTAAACCAGAGTTTCAAAAATGTATCAAATATATATAAACTCTCCTCTGCGCTCCCAATATCAATTCAGTATAGACACATTTCAGAAAAAGCTAGTGAGTGGACCTTGAGTTATAAATAATAAGAATGAACTTTAACACTGAACTATTAAGATGTGTTTTTGGAAATCAACACAACTATAAAACAACTGCTACTTTTGTCTGAAGGGACAATTAAAAATCTCTGTTGTACTATAAAAGTTGAATAAATTATTAATAGTATAAATTGTATGTGGCTGATGGGAACTGTAGTTTAAAATAAAATAGCACTAGAACTACAAACCCCACAGGAAAGAGTCAGGTCACATTGTTTTCAGTCATTATCCATCGACATTAATGTAAAATGTTTAAAATCTTTAACATGGTCTCTACTTACTGATCCAGCAGTCAGATGTAATTTGACCGTTTGATTGTCGAGGATGATTTCATGGTTCTGCCTGGCGAGGACTCTCTCTCTCACTGGAATCACATGAAACACTGGAGTCACAACTGATTTCACAGCAGAAAACTAGTTTAAAGGAATAGTCTGACATTTTGAGGAACAGGCTTATTGTCTTTCTGAAGGTGCAGCCACATTTCAATCCCACAAATATTCACTTCTATTGAAGCCTGAATGACCAACGTGTGTTTGAATCTGTAAAAAAGATTTCAAACACAAGGATAGTTCCCAGCAGCCTTCAAAGAATACACAGTCACAGAAATCTTTCCATCCTGTTAGATCAAATTGAAGCTGCCTGTAGTTTGTAGTTTGCAGACCATGTTTGGACTTATAAATACACTTTATTATCATTATCAACCACACAAGAGCTGTTTGTTAACAGTTCAGGTCCAGTTCAGACCGCAGTCCATACTGTGGACTGGTAGCTGAGGAGGTGCCAGTTCCACCTCCTGTCCACTGCCAAGGTGCTCTTAAGCAAGACACCTAACCCCTAACTAGAGTGCTGCTACGTGGCAGCCCATCACTGCACCATCTCTCCACCTTTACATGACTATAAGCCCAGTGTGTGTGAAACACTGAGTGAAAGCAGAATGTCTGGGATTAATAAAATATATCTTCTAAATATTAAAATCAAATTAAAAAATGTGGTGTTTGTTGTAAAAACTAAGACTCAATCAGCCCATTGATCAGGTGTTTCCCATCATGCCCTGGGTCTTGCAGTTGGTGAAGAGCAACGGTGGCACCTAGTTCTAAAAACCGCCTGCATCGTGCCGTCAATCAGCAGGGATCTATTCTGCACAGGCCTGGCTCATCTCGGACAAACCTATTCTCATATCGTCAGATAACAACGAATTACAATGACAGTAAACTCTTTCTTCTCTTTCTCCGCTCAGATTGGTTGTTTTCTTTCAGACATTCTTGCAAATGCACTGGGAGGAGCCAGAGGAGCCTGAGGAACCTGATTATTTCACTGATTATCTGTCTCATGTTCTACTGTCAGGATACAGTGACAGTTTCAGCAAAGCACAACAAAAAGTTATTTTTATAAAAGTTTCCTATTGCAGCTTTAAAGCAGCTATAATCAATATTTTGAATGTATCAAACAATGTGTTGTGTGTCTCTGGCAGTGAATTATCGGCTCATTGTTGATCTGGTTCCCTCTCAGTGCTCTCACTGTACGCTGCAGGTTTAAAACCACAGAGCAGTCTGGTTCCATCACAAGTTCATTATTCTCATCTGTCTTCACATCTGACTCACCTGAGAGCTCAAATCAGCTGCTGTGACTCTCCACCTGAACAACGAGCAATAAGGGGAGCGGCAGCCAGAGAGGTGAAATGCATGCTGGGAAGTCATATGACAAGAGTGTTTTTTAACTAACTTTAATACCCGAGCTGTAAATAATAAAGTTTCAAACTTCATCAGATGAATTTGGTTTTCAGACAGCTTAATGAAAGGAGTGTTTGATGATGGAACAGTTGACTTTGTTCACTTTGAGTTGCAGTTACACTCACAGGCCTGTGTGTTATTTCTGTCTCATCCACAAGTGTTGGAGCTCGGTGTCTCTGTGTTTGTGAGACTGTTCGCAGCTTTAACCATTAAACTCAGAAAGCTGAGCGCTAACGGATCAGACACACTCACCCTCCTCCGATCGGAAGTAGACGGCCGCTCTCGGAGCTCCGTCCTCGGCCTCCACTCGGCAGTCTCCCCCGCTGGACTTCTTCTTGCTGTTGAAGTACAGCTGCAGTTTGTTCTTCGCGGTTTTAGTCTGAGCTGGACTCCAGTCCCCCTCCACGGTCACCGGCGGACACTCGGTCTCATCCATGCTGCCGTCCTGGTACGAACACACCGACAGACTGACACAAACAGGCGGCTGAGCGTCCTCAGACTGCAGCTGCTTTCACTTTCGATTCTCCGCCAAAAGACGCAAAAATGGAACCGAGTTCAACACAGCTGACTCACTGAGCCCCGAACAGGGTTCACAATGAGCCCAGGAGCTGTATCTGGGCAAAGTTCTCATAATGATTGTTAGTTTATTGTTCCCTAACAATTAAAACAGTTTTATTCACATACAACTGAAGGTTTTTCATCCAAGAGCGCAGTGTAAGCGCATGGATGTGAAGTGGGCCGTTTATCTTTCTTTTCCAACATTAAAGTGAACAGGATGGGTGTCTTATAAACACAGTACTTCACGGATGTGATGTCATACATGTAGGCGGGTGTATTAGCCATAATTATTCTGTGGTTGCTCATATTGCATTAGATTCTGGAAAGACTTTGATTGTCATTGAAAAATATTCTTTCTTTCTTTGAACTTCATGAGAACAACGTATGAACAACTGTTAACCTTTGTTTTACATCCACAAAGCAACACTCCCTAACTCAGCTCCGTCATGTAAGTTATTCCTCATTGAAACTGAATGTTATGTTCATGTTTATTTATTTTAGTCTCTTAAATCTGTAACAGTAATAAGAACTGCAGGTCAGTAGTTTAAATATATTCTGAGATTTGGATTTGTCAAAAACCCAAAAGGAATATTTTCTTTCCTCACCGTTATTGCCTTATTATTTCACCTTTCGATGTATCTAGTGTGTGTTGTCTTTTGTATTATAATGAACTGCTATGATTGTTTATTTTCTTGTAAATTTGGGGCCTCAAACTGTCGGCCTGGGGGCCATTTCCAGCCCTCAGGATAACAACATGATTTCAACAATATAGTGGTTTTATATCAGTTTAAACTACGCTTTCAAATACACAATTCTATTTTAAAAAATTGAGCCTATTTTGTTTGCCTCAAAGGTAACAGGTGTCTGCAATTGTGTGCAGAGCGTTGATAAGAAGAGAGCCGGTTTCAGGCCTTCAATTGTTGCTGCGAACAATATACATTAAATGATGATATAAAATGTATAGAAACTTTTCTGCGTTTTTTTTTGTCTTATTGTTTTCAGAATAGTGTGCTTCTTGTAGAGCTTGAACGTTGAAGTGGCCCACCTATGAGATGGCAAAACTAGAAGCCTAGTCACCCCAAGATCAGGTTTCAAAATCTTGCCATTAATTAACAGCTGGAACAATCCTCAGAACAAAGAATGCATCAGATTAGATTTTAGTTAGATTTTGAATGTGTTTGATGTTCAGAATGTTTTTCTTCATAGTTTCGCAGCTATGACTTGAAATGTTGACACGTTCATGCAGCAGATTTCCACATGTAGGACTTTATTTTACTGCATTTATTACAATATACAGAAAAATTACTTTAGAGAAGAGCAGAAGATTCAAATAGTTACTGAAACTGCAGAAGTTGCACACATAACCCTTCTGGTGGCTGCAGGTATTGAACTGTAAAGAACTCAGTACACACTGATACAACTGGTGTGTGTACAGCCAACAAGGCCTCCACAGCTTGGTCCTTACGTTGTTTTTGCTTTCTCACCACCCTGACAACCCTACCATCACTCAACGAGCTCCCCCTACAGCTCTGGGACGTATATTTCACAAAACTGTCGTAAAAAAAACCTCACTTGTGGCCCCCTCCTCCCCCTTTCTACCGCTGCTGATGTGCATTTGTTGCCGGGCAACTTTTTCGTGTGGTGCCGTAAAGCAGTTTGTGTTTCTCGCTCGTTCTCGCTTCTCACGATACTTCCTATTTCCAACTTAAAGGGACGGTTTTCCGCCTGGGGACGCTAGAGGGAGCAGGGAAAGTCACCATTAACACCAGAACAGGCCCTTTAACCATCCAAATGATTTCTAAACGGATTTATTAAGTTGAAAAAGTTGCCAAATTCCCCTTTAAGAGCTTTACTCTAAATGAACTAGGCCTGTCATTTATCCAATGACTCCAACCAAAGTGAAGCAAATTTAGGAAATCAAACTCCAACACAGCAAAAGACTCCGTGTATCATTCGTTCTTTTCATATTCCATTGAGATTCCAAAATGGAAAAATGAAATTATTGATAGCCTATTTAATTTGTCCGATTTGTGTGAACTGGAAGTCATTGTCTTCTTCGTGTGTTGCACTTTGCCGCAATTTCACAAAGCCCGAAGAAACTCAATGATGCAGTGATTTCATTGAACTCTGTATTTTTGGAGTAATTTCGTATCGACACCATGGCGGCACTGGAACCATACACCGATTAAATTAAATTAAATACATATATTAAGAATATATATATAGTATAATTTAAAGTCACACAGTGTAAAGTGGTCGCAGGCTTCCTCTTCATCAGAGGCTCAGATGTTGGGTTTGCAGAGGGAGGGATGTACGATGATGCTGATGATGCTGATGATGATGATGACGTGCAGGATCTCTCTCGGTAGATGATATGGAGTCCAACGGCCACCAGTTCAACATCCGGGCCACAGAGCTGTTCGCTCTCGGTACAATCCCGGTCCGCCCGGACGGTGTGGAGGACACCGACAGAGACGGTCCGGTCCGTGATGTCCCTGTGCAGCCCTGTCTCAGTGACACACATCAGACTCCCGGTACTCTGCGGGGCTCCGCGTTAATGCCGTCAGCTCGTTCATTCCGTTGCTAGGAGACCGCACATCACCATAACAACAGAGGGGAGACTCGGCTTCAATCTTCTCCTTCTCCATAAACCCGTCCCGTCTCCACCCTCCTCTCTTCCCCCGATGTTCTTCCCTCCTCTTCATCCCCGGTGTGTTTCCTCCAGAGTTCAGCTGGTAGATCAGCGGCTCTGTCCACCGTACCGACCGGCATTAGATCAGCGGCTCTGTCCACCGTACCGACCGGCATTAGATCAGCTGTTCTCCGGTGTAAACAACGGCAGTGTGTCCCGGTGGAAGCGGCATTAAAACCCAAAAACTGTCTCAAACAACCTCGTTAGAGAGAGCAGGACTTCACAGAGTTACAGTGAAACAATAAAGGAATCTCAATTGAATATGAAAAGAACGAGAGATACACAGATTCAAAAGTATTATTTACAATATTTTGTGGGTTTATTGAACCATGAGAGGACTTGGTGACAGCGGCAAGGAAAACTTCATTATCAGTGCATTATTGCTTCATCATTCTGTGGCTCTTTAGGAAATATTTACATATCTCATAGCTTGAGTTTTACTTTGTTAGGTTGCCCAGTGTGATGAAAAATATATATTTTTCTTATAGATATATATTTCTTATATATCATTTTTTAACATAAAGGATAAAACCCAGTATAAACCCATAGAGGTGAATGATCTCATTTGTTGAACATAGAAGTCTCACTGATGCTGACACTGTGATTCTACAGTTTGTATTCAAGGTGTCAGAGACCTTTGAACTTGTGGGGATGGACCTGACGTGTTCCAACAATGGATACACACACATCTGTGTCATGGTGGACTACTTCACCGAATGGCTTGATGTCTATCCCCTAAAGGAAGTGGCAGCCTGTATGAAAACATGCTATTGCAAAAAAATGTGTCATTCATTTTGTACTTTCTATTTATTCATACACATGAACATACAATCAAACTTGAAAACAAACACTGACCCCAACACCAACAGACAGTACATCCAGCATACAACCCCATGTACAAAGGCCTCCTGCAAATCGACATTTCCTTTTTTGAAACAACCAAAATATACATTCAGCACCATGTCTACACATTTTTCCACAGAAAACTAAGTTCCCAGGCCCTCCTAAAATGTTCTTCGTTGTTAATTCTAGCCAACATGCGTTCATATGATGCAACTTCTGACATCATTTCCATCCATTTTTTCACATCTGGGGCCACTGTACTCTTCCATACTTCCACTCTGAGAATTGTTCGAGCAGCTGTGACCATCCCAACTTTTAAAAGCCCTCGTTCATATTTAGATATATTGGACATTTCTGTTTGGTCCCCTAACAAACACAGTCTTGGTGATACAGGTACCACCACACCCAGCCATTTACTCACATGTTCCAGTACTTTCTCCCAAAATGGATAGACCAGTTTACATCCCCAAATTACATGTAAAAACTTCCCTATTTCATCCTGACACTTCCAACCTAAATGAATTCCTATTAGGCCCATTCTATGTAGTTTTGAAGGGGTGAAATAAAATCTAGGAATTATCTTGTACTGAATAAATTTCCCCTTCGCCTCTCTCATGTGTTTCCCTGTATTTGATATGTCATTCATTTTCATATCCAATGCGTATTCTGTTTACATCAACCTGGATTTGTGTTCAAAAGTTTGCATTGCCAGAAGCTTCTGTGCATCATACTACCTGAAAGCAGTGGAAACACTTAATGGCACAATTCAAGGATGAAAATATGCTTTCAATATGTAAATATGAACATAATGAAATCATATATATGTCTATATATGGAGAGTGACTTTTTTTTTTTTTTTTTTTTACAATTTCAGGGCTTTGAAAAAAAATGGTGCAGGACAACAAGCAACTGGGACAATTACATAAAACCTACACGTACAAAAAAAAAAACATAACCACTACATACTCTGCTTACTATCTAATGTATGGAAGGGAGGTCAGCCTTCTGAAATTACGGACAAGTGGCAGGTGTGATTGCATTTTCCTAGCAGCTACTTTGGCAACAAATGTTTCTAAATCAGAATCTATTAAAGGATCAGCGATGTGAGATGCAGCGATTTGGGAAGTTAGCTTTTTTTTTATCTAAACGGTATTTCACACTAAACTCCAAAGCAAAACAAAAAGCACAAAGTGACAAATGCTGGATGTAGCGAAATAATGAATGAGTTTTAAAATCCATAGTCATGGTTTTTTTTTAAAGTAGAATTACAATGAATTATTTAATTTAATTAGAATTTCTAGCTGAATTCAAATACAATGAGGCTTTAAATGTTTATAAACCCAATCAAATCACTTGAATTTGTTTTGTAGACTGTGGATTTAATCTAAAATACAAATAGTAGAGGTACATTATCAGTTGCTCAAAGGGATCATGGCAGTTCATGTAAATGTGATCAGGTATTCTGGGTAAGCCTGGATGTCACTGAAGATGATGAACATGGTTGGATTGCCGGTGTTATCAACCACACTGTCATACAGGTCTGAAGCACTCCCAAAGCCCTTAACAGGAGGGACGATCATACCAGCTCTTCCCTGGGTGAAGTCTCCGACCAGGACCCTCGCCAGATACATGCGCTTGTGCCCTCTGACATCAGGCTTGGCGTAGCCCCACGCCGAGTAGACGGGATCCACAGCAAAGTAAAAGCCATTGCCGTACATCGCACCTACTGAAAAACAGAATAATTACAGTCAAATGTTCAGACAGACGACAGCAGTATCAAAAAATTCTCAAGCAAAAAAATGCAAGGTCATCTGACAACAAAGCTGGATGACAGCGCTATATCATGCAGAAACACTGCGTTGAGCAATAAAATATGTGGTCATTTTCCAAAAGTTACAGTTAGTTATTGGTAGTCACGTGGCAATACAACTACAAGCAAATACCAAGATAGTTACTTAATCTGTTTTACTGCAGAAGGTTAATAGAATCTTCTTCTCGCTGCCTATACGGAGAGAATGCATAGTGATCCAAAACTCTTTCAACATTCATACATTCACATTTTGGTGCATGCAACGTTTTGTGAGATAAAAAACACTTTTCTTTTCCCAAACTGGTACATTTTCCCATTGTTTTATGAGTGTGTGTGGTTACCTGCGTAACTGAGGTTGAAGCCTTGTTTGTTGATGAGGTCAATGGATTTGGCATGGGTGCCGTGGAAGAGTCGCCTTTCGTTGTTTGTGTGTTTGTTCTTCACCTCCAGCTGTTTCTTCATCAGCTGGTAACTCTGACACAAGATTGAATTTTGGACCCGTTCAATCTGCCAACACAGTTACGTCAAATATTATTCAAACGGCAAAGATTAATTTTCAGCAGTAACAGTCATCCTTACCACTGTGGTGGCATTTAAGGTGAGATTACCTTGAGGAAGAAAGACCTCAACCTCACAGAGGAACAACCCCGTTATATCTTCAGCCTAGTCACTACCCTTTAAACATAACATTAAGACCACATTGGCCAGACCAACAGACTGCTCTGCACTGTGTGTTCTGACCCCTTTCTATCAGAACCAGCATTAACTGTGTAAACTAACTTGTGTATATATATATATATGTGTACATATTATATATATATGGTGTATATATATTACAGTATGTATGTATGTATGTATGCACACCTTGCACAGGCTGAACATATGACACGTTTACATTATATCAATATTAATGTATAATATCTGTTCACTCATCATATATATATATACATATTATTATTTTATTATTATAATTATTAATATTATCATTATATACTGTTATTATTATATACTCTTATTAACAATAACACTACCATCATGTCATCAGTACTATTACCACCATAGCAACTACAACTCTTTGCACTTTACCTATTTATCTTTTTTATATTTTCTAAGTATTTTATTCTATTGTTGTATTTTATTTTATTGTATTTTATTGTATTTTAATGTACCTGACCGCTATGACGACCCAATTTCCCTTCAGGGATTAATAAAGTCTATCTATCTAACTGTTTCAGCAGTTTGAGCTGCAGTAGCTCGTCTGTTGGATCGGACCACACGGGCCAGCCTTCACTTCTGTTCCTTCCTTGGACCACTTTGATAGGTACTGACCTCTGCAGACCGGGAACTCCCCACAAGAGCTGCAGGTTTGGAGATGCTCTGACCCAGTCGTCCATCACAATGTGGCCCTTGTCAAAGTCACTCAAATCCTCACGCTGCCCATTTTTCCTGCTTCTAACACATCAACTCTGAGGACCAATTGTTTACTTGCTGCCTGATATATACGTATATTGAAGCGACCTAGCAGTAAGAACATTTCAATAATATTTCAACAATATTTATTGTCAGTTTTCACATTGAACTGGAGGGATTATGAATGATAAATAACATTTTTAAATAAAATTGGTTGAGACTGTAAATATGTATAAGGCATGCTACTGGTCTGAGAGGATTCTGGCCTGCTAAAGCAATGCTATAAAGGCCAGAAAGGCTGCACAAAACTGAATGATGATCAATACTTTAACCTGGTCAGAATAGGATAGCATCTGGGTTCGGACCCAGACAGCGGTCCACCTCAAGTGACACTGGTACATGGGATGGAGAGGTGGGATGGCATAATAATTTCAATTCAACGCTACTATAGTAATAATAATAATAGTAATAGTAATTCTGTAGATGACATAGTAAATTACAATATAATTGAATTTAACAATCAACTATTTTAATCTGATAGATTACCCAATTGTGGTATTTCTTATGTTATTATATTGTGTTCATACTTTATATCAGTGATTTTAAGGTCATTCTGAGGTTTACAGACAAATGGTTTGAGTGTTTCAATTTGATTGTGTGCGGCCATCCAGTTATACTTAAACTATACTTAGAACAACTTCATCCATGTGTGAGAAAATGCATCTTTCAGTCTTTTGAATGAGAACTGTTGGGGAGCTAACACAAAGTGCAGCGTCATCTGGTTAGATGATATCCAATCAAATATCTGCCAGTACACATTCCTGGGAGAGGAATTTGTAACCCGAATGCCATACTGCTGTTTAACTTGTGACTTCTACAAAGAAACATGAAATAATTGCCACTGAGAAAATGTTCCAGAGTCTGTGCAGTGTTTTAGTGTTTGATAAACCTTCCAACTCATTGTTGTTTCTCAAACTGAACTTCCACTTCTGATAATCAACATACACTGATGATGTTTGCAGAAAGGCCGGTCTTTTGAAGTTCTGTCTCCACCTCGTTGTATTCTTTGGATCCCGCAGCCAAAGGAAACAGTTTGAGGATGTCGCCTTTCATATCATCCCAATGTGAAGGCAGAGCGCAATAATCTGCATAAAGAATAAAAGAGTGTTCTTGGCAACAATTCATCAGTGTTTGCACTCTTGTTGTTGTGTTCTTGTATTTCAAATTTAAACCATTGTACAAACAAATGCAAAAATTAAATATTCCATCTGTAATGAACTGGCCAAATTCTGAATTTACCTTGTATGTGCCAACAGAACATAAATTCAAAGTGATTTATATTTATTATATTCTGGCCACCAGTTTATTACAACTTTGTTTCAGAGAAAGCAAGTCAAAATATTACAATACCCATGATCCACAGCTGTGAAGAAATGGTATAACCAAAGCTACTGAATTTACCAAAACTTTATTGATTTAAATGTCCAGTGTGTAACATTTAGTAGGCTCTATTGTCAGAAATGGAATATAATATTCATAGGCATTTTTCTATTAGTGTATAATCACCTGAAAATAAGAATCGTTATATTTTCGTTACAGAGAATGAGAAGTATTTTTGGGGGAGGGGGTCGCCTTCAGTGGTGTCTGCCATGTTAAGTACCATGCAGCCTAGAACAGACAAGGACTGGCAGTAGATGGGGGGAAGGATGTTTTTGGTGAGTTTTGTGCCCACTGTAGTTTTTCGTACACACTGCAATCACCACTAAATCCTAGACTCTGGACCTTTAAGGTGCAAATCGTTGTTTTGAGTTTTCTCAGCTCTGAAATCTTTAGCTTACACCTCCAGAATTATTTTGCTGAAATGCATCTTGGGAGTTGTAGTTGACTTCTCTTCCTGAGTCTTTATGTCCACAATGTTCCTTTACCTTTGACTTCTAATACAAAACACAGTTGTTCATCATTGTCTAGGAGAAAAATTATCAGTGCTTCTACTCTACTCCAGAACCAGTGTCTCCAATGAATATAAACCTTATAAACCTGAAAACATAAGAACATTCTTCTATTTAAACATGTTGAATGATTACTAAACACAATCACTCCCCTTTCAAGTCTTTTCTCAGAAGCTCCACCTGTTTACGTCCCGTCACTGACACTGCTTTCCTCAGCACTACGTCTGCATTGTATCTTTCATTGCTGATACTGATCGTCACCATTTGTTTTCTCTCCAGAGCCTCCTCCAGGCTGAGGTTGGTGTACATGTCAAAGGGCACCATCATCCCACTGCGGATCTGGAACTGCCATTCCACCAGTCCACAAGGCCTTGCTCCTCTGGTGCTCCATCCTCTCCACCTTTCGGATGATGTCCCTGATGGTCAGCAACAGAAACATTTAAAGGAATACGCTTTAACATTTGTTTATCTGGACTCAAGCTTTAATGCACCATGAATTAATTTGCTGACCTGACCGCAGGCTCAGCGGTGAAGACGTTCCTGGTCAGACCCTCTATGTGGATTTTGGGTTCCTGTCCCCCCTGCCCTTTGTCCAGACGGATGCTAACGGTCAGCTTCCTCTGCAGGTCCCTCAGTTGGTCCACGTCAGCCTGTGACAGCTGACTGATATACTGGTCTGTGATGGTTTTCTCCGCCTGCTCGACCACAATCAGCTCCTTGATCCTGTTCTTAGCCTGACTCACAGCCTGCGTGGGGGGGGGTAATGAGAACAGATTCAATAAACTCTTGTAACTCTATAAACTTGTCATAAATTACTTGTTTTAACTTGATGAATATCACAGGTTCATAAAGAGATGAGCCTTTTCATCATCTGCATTAATAACGCCCACAAACTGTATGTACAGTAAGGCTTTCTGTTCTGCTCAGTTTAAGCAGTTCACTGAAATCAAAATCTGTAAACATAACAGAATTTAGCAGAGTCAGTAGTTAGTGGTACCCGAAGACTTTTGGAAAATATTAATAAATAAAACAAGAAATATATTCTCATAATATAGCTGCTAATAATGTGTCATCAGAGCAGAGCACCATTTTTTTTTATGTGTGTATAGATTAAAAAACAAATGCTAAGCTAGGCTAACCACATATATTTTCCAAAATGCTGAAATGTTTCCTTAAATAAGTTTAACTCAATAAGGGGGCAGAGCAGAGTGTCTGTACAGGGATAATGTATTCCACACATCATGAGATTTTCTAAAATTGCAAAAAAACTTAAAATCTGTCTCACAAACTGTAACAATGAAATACTGATAAAACAAATCATCGGCTGAAAACTGATCATCCTTATTTTTCTCTATGAATGTACAATGTAATATGTACAATGTGCTGTCTTGTGTTCAGAAAGCTTTGGTCCATTCAAAGCAAAAACCAAGTATAGAATAAATACTGTTCACCTTTTCGTTGTCAGCACACAGCTGAAACACAGCAGGTTCAAACTTCTCTCTCTCAAGAACCACGCCATCAGTGCTGGGCTGCTCCCTCACTAATAATGAAGAAACAACGTCAAATGATATAGTTTGTCGGCCAATATCCACAAGATATTTCTTTGGCTCTCTGATTTTTTGGGATTATGAATCTCCAGTTAGTCTCATGGAACAGTATTCAAGTAATCTGTGGTCACTTTGTGGCCCACTATCCCTAAATAAACGTCATTTGACGAACAGCCCAATTATCCAAGGTTCTCCAAAGATATGTTCTAAGTTTAGAACCCATTTTAAACACAAGCATAGGCAACATTTATCTGGAAGTAAGCTGACCAAGTTATATTCTGGTCTAGACCCAATCTGCATCAGGTGCAGTCGAGACTAGTCTAGCCTAAGCCACACTTTTCGGTTATGCCCCAAACAGGCCGCGTTTTGGACAGGCAACAGCTCTAGACTGACATGGGAGCAGAAATGAAAAAGGCAGTGTTTTTCCATTCCACCTTGAGTCTGTTAAACCCGCCCTTAAGTGCCATAGCACACAGTATATCCTACCAACAGTCAAACAAAATACACACCTATGGTTTATGTAATCAGAGCGTGGGGCTAAAATATAAATTATATTTTTCTGGACCGCATCGATTAGGATATTTGGTCATTTTATTCAACTGACTAAAAACAGTCTACCTTTACAGGTTTTCCAGATATTCCAGGATGCGTGGGAACCCAGCTGATTTTACAGCTTCATAATAAAAGCATTTAAATAACAAAAAACTGAGGACTATTATTTTGAAGAATTATAGGACATTAAATGTCGCTATCAAGTGGAGCTTAATGGTAAATGGACCTGTACTTGTATAGCACCTTCCTAGTGTTCCGACCACTCAAAGCACTTTTACACTACTTGCCACATTCAGTCAATCGAATGGCAACCAACGCATCAATACACGTTCACACACCGATGCAAGGCATCAGGAGCAATTTGGGGTTCAGTATCTTGCTCAAGGATACTTCGACATGTGGTGGGAGGAGCTGGGGATCGAACTAACAACCTTCCAATTAGTGGAGGACCCACTCTTCCTCTGAGCCACACCCGCCCCAAGCTTAGTCAGTGGCACACCTTCAAGCTGTTGTAATAGAGATGCAAATCCCCGTCCAGTTGGCCTGGTGCGCCGAGCCAAAGCAGTCAAACCAGCACCTGTGTATGGAAAAGACAGTAAACTGTGAGCAAAGGGCTTGTAGAGAGTCTGTAGGTTTCAACCAAACAACAGCTAAATTCATCGATTAGCTGATGATTAAAAGGTGAACGAGAGTAATCCATTATCTCTTGTAGTGTTTGCTTGGACCAAAATCTTAAGATTTTTATCTCTCCATGGTACATTTTGAGATTTCCCAGCTTCATAATAAAAGTGTTTTAAATAACAAAATAACTGGAGACTTTTATTGTGAAGAATTATAGGGCGTTAAATGTTGTTATCACCAGAGCAGAGCTTAGTCAGTGGCTTTAAAAAAAAAAAAAAAAAAAAAAAAAATCTCTTTCTCTTCTGCTTGTTAAGACACACCTTTAGGCGGTTGTGATAGAGATGCAAATCCCCGTCCAACAAGCCTGGTGCGCCGAGTCAAACTGAGGCCAGCCAAGCCAGCAACTGTGTATGGAAAAACACCAAGTGAGTAAAAATCCATTATCTCCTGTAGTGTTTGATTGGACCAAAATCATTTCACAGTTTGAGATGGGAGATCTAGAGGCTGGAAACATCTATTAAACTCTGAAACTCACCTTTCTGTCCTTAAAGTCATCAAATCAATGACATTGAGTGGTTCAGTAATGTCTAAAAGTAACCATTACAACGGACCCTTCATATTCTCAAATTACCTGTTTGATGTGTTTTGTGTTCTCTCCATAATCCACGTAGAAATGATTAACTGAAAGGTGTTTGAGGTTTCTTACCTGTGGACTGTGGTGATTGGGATGCTTCCTGTTGGATGTTTCTCTGACCCGTCTGATCTTTGAACTTCCTGGTGAAACGCTGAAAAACAATATTTTGGCATATTATGTTAATATAGGTGATCATTTTAAAACTTGTAGTCCTCAACCCCAACCAACGCTGACACAAGTGACATCACTTGAGGACGATTATCAACCAAAATGCGGAACTAAAACAGGCTAAAAAGAGAAGAAAAGAGTTGTTACAAATTATATGTGTCCCCTTTCACATTACAGTCTCTTAATTATGTTTAATATATGATTATTATATTCATTAGAGCAGCTTTCAAAAGGAGTAGTTTGACATTTGGGAAAATTCCATTTCTTGCCAAGAGTTGGATGAAATGATCGATACTAAGCCACCTACCTTGCTAGCTCTCAAATGTACAATTTATGCTTTCTTTATTTAATCTGTAGAAAACCAAAGTGTAAAAGCAACAAATCCTGGTTTTATGGTGTATTTCTTGGCTGGGACCAGCATGTAGGACTATTTCAATATTATTGTTGTTATTATTAGTTCATCTTGCATTCTACACTAGGGGGACCAAGCAGAGAAGTAGCATGATTAAGCTGTATGTTTACACTTGAAAATAAAGTTAAATGTGAATCCTGTCTAGACAATGGACTTCTTAACTGTCTGAGTACAACCCAATTAAACTGTTGCATCAGTGGCCTTTGATTGCATGTCCACATTTTGATTTATTTTATTTTTATTTTAAATAGTCACTACACAGTAACTTCTAGCATTTCCTCTAATAGCCTGCCAGCTGCCCCCCAGCGGAGTATAGCTTGGCACATAACCCCCATAAAATGGCAGATTGTAATTTTTATTTTTGTACTACTTTACTTTGTGTGAATTAAACAAACAATAGTAGGTTTCCAGTCTTTATTCTAAGCTAAAATATCCAGCAGCTGCCATGTAATGCCTTCATACTAGACAAATAACAATTTAGATTTAAAAGCCTGTTTGATAAGATTTTTTTGCTACAAGATTCCCAGGAAGCCCTGGATTGTGTACCTGGATTGATACCAGATTACATAAAAGGATATTTATTCCTTCAAAATCCTGATACTTGCATGTAATAAAACCATCACAAGTAGGTGTTTAAAAGTGCCCATCCAAGCAGGTACCCTTAAAAACAGTAGGGAAACTGGACTACATACAAGAGATCGTTTATACGGTCAGATGGTCTGACTAGAAAGGCTCAAAAGGTTGGAAAGAGGGAGTACCCCCTTTTCTTTATTTATTTTGTTGTTCTACTTTTGATTTTCTTCACTGATATAGCAACTGAAAAATACAGCTTGCAGACTGTAATTGCTAGATTGCGCTGTATTTATAGACACTGTTCAACAATGCAGTGATCAAACTGAAATCTGACGGGTGAAGAAATAACGAGCAGTCAAATCAGATGAACATGAACAATAATATTAGTACCCAAACTGTCTGCTGTGAAACATTTTACATGTTTAGTGAGGGATTATTAACAACATTTTAGTGTTCAGTTTCAGTCTGACCTCTACATAAAGTGGTCTAGATAATCAGGATAAACTCTTTTTTAGTGACATCACTGTGTTCACAAGTCTTAGTGCACTGACCACGTTATCGTTCTCTTCCTCTTGATTCTCTGGACGAAGCATCACCACACAGCTCAACTCCGACATTATTGTTGACAGAAACAGGCTTC